AATAAAACATTTTTAAAACATATCACTGCAACTTTATTGTAATTAACCTAACCAAACTAGTATGGGTTATCCCAGGGTTAGATACAGTAAATAAAAGTTACAGTTATTCTTATGTTTTACCTTCCCTACATGGATGTGAACTTTAATCTACCAATCTAAGAAATTATCCACATATACATATAAAAATCAGTCTTTTTTGTATATATATATAAGTGGATTATTTTTGAGATTGGTAGATTAAAGTAGACATCCATATAAGGAAGGTGAAACATAAAAATAACTGTAAGCAAACTGAAAGATTGAAAAACCTGTAAGTGGTAACTGGTAACAACTTAACAAGTAACAACTAACATGTTGACACTAGTAACAGGCTGAGGTTGACAAAATTACATCGAAATCTTTTGTACAGTTTTATTCTGTAATTTATATTATGTATGTATCATGCTGGTTTTTAAATAATATTTAATACTATTAAGGGGACCGGCTATCCTAAAAATCGGAAATTTTGGCTTTACCATTTTCTTGACTCATTTGTAGCTGCTGAAAAGGCGCGTCTAACGTGCAGTTTACCACATATCTGTGCATGCTATAATTTTTGCATAAGACAATTCTAAAAATATATCTATGAACATTTTTTAACCATATGTACAAAGATTTATTTGAATTAAATATGTATATATAGATCATTACTCTCGTTAATTACAAAGTGTTTGCACTCGTTTGAAAGCTACAAACGAGACGCGTTCAACAAAGCTACTACCATAGATGTACATGCAATACTTTTTTTTTTAATGCAGTCTTGAACTTTTATAAAATTATCATTTTATATCATTATTTACAAATAAATGGTATTTATGTGTCATTATTTAGGTTTATTGCAAAGTGTTTGCACTCGTTTGAAGGCTACAAACAAGACCCGTTTAAGAAAATATTTTCAAGTTTCAGATGTGCCCTTTCAAGTGAGACGGTAAAATGTATCATTTTAACAAAGCTACTACCATGGATGTTCTTGCAATAGTTTTTGCGTAATGCAGTTGTAACGTTATGTAAAATGAATATTTTATATATATATTTATACATAAAAAGTCCCATTTATAGCCTATTATCATGTTAAATTGAACATAAATAGGTCTAAAGACGTGTGCTGGTACCTTGAATGCAAATAATTGGCAGTGGGAAAGCTTGGGCTACAATATCAAGACTTTTTGGGCTTATTTTGGGCATATTCTTCTGTTTTCAATGAATTTTACTTTATTTGGCTCCCCTGAACAATTTAAAAATCCAAAAAACGCCATCTTAAAAAAATTATAACTCCAACAGTTTTCAAGCTACAGCAATGAGAGACATACCATTCGATTTGTAAAAACAATACCTAGTGACTCTAGAAGCTTTTTTTAATATGTGCATGTTTTGACTTATATATGGGAGGGGGAGGAAGGTGGGGGTAAAAATGTGAAAAAAATGGGAAGAACGCAAAAAAAACAATGAGGAAAATAAAAAATCAGGGCTCTACAGTCGCTAGATATTGTTGTTACAAATCGAATGATATGTGTCTCGACATTGTAGCATGTGATTTGCAAAAGTTACAAACTTTTTTATAGTACCCCTTATTTGCCGTTTTCTATTAATTCCACGTTTCCTTTCATTTTTTTAAATTTACATGAACAAAAAGGTCTTAGATTTCTGTTTTACATATGTGTACCAAGTTTCAAAACGATCCGTCTGTAAACGAAAAAGTTTTGTTGGAGGGTAGCCGGTCCCCTTAAGTAAAATCTAAAGGCTTTATCTATAAATGTAGCGGTAGCGCTGTAGTGGCAAAACCTCGTATTGCTACTTAAATATGTAGTGGGCGCTACCGCTACATTGCCTTAAATGTAGAGCCGCTACCGCTACTGAAAATGTAGCGACCGCTAGTAGCGGCCGCTACATTTAGCGCGCTACTGCCCACCTCTGGAGATGAGCTGATGTAATTGCAAACAGAATGAACAGAACAAAAATGCAAATCATGAATGACTGATAACATGATGGGATGTAGAATGTAAACCAAAGCAAGAACCATTAAACTCCGTAAAACTAGTAGCAGCTCATCTCCATATTGTGAATGTATCTTTAAAACTAATACGCCCTCAAATGAGGATTGAATTGAAAAGAATCACAAGAGGACAGATAAATAAATGATACTGCAAGATGAATTGTGAACATAACTTGCTGGAATTAATTATTACCATAATCCAATATAATAAATTAACTTCCTTTAACTGAACCATATCAGTCAGAGATGAACACAACCAGAGTAAAATGCAAGGGAACACAAGAAGTTAATATCAATGAAATTAGCAAAATAAAGATGAAATTTAACCTAAATTATCAATGAATAATTGAAATAAATTCATATGCCACTCACCAGTGCAACTGAGTGCCCAGGCTGAGATACTGAATAGAGATACTTCAAGAGAGATACTTTACTTCAAGCATGCAAATTATACTTTGGTCACCTACACTGAAAAAGATAAAAATATTGAATTTAATTTAAATTGAGTTGGATTGAGCACTGAAGAAATATGATAATTAGTAAAGAAAGGCATGAAGGTTGGCTACACAGTAGCCTAATTTAGCCTCCCGTAACAGTGTGACATAGTCTGCTTATTTATTCCTGTTGTATCTGACATTTTGTGTTTTGTTTTGTTTTCATGTTTCATGGCTTCCTGAAAGTGACTCCTGACCACAATAAGCATTCAGCACAGACTCAGTAGCTAGTCTCGCATATTTGGGCTGCTTACCGAGAACCACTACAGTGCCAATACAATCTTCCTTTCAGATAAATCCAACTCAAGCAGATGGGCATAGTGCCCCATGCTCATATATTAACCTCTACCCGATGATCAGGTTTGTTGACTAAGGTAGTGAGGGGATAAGTAAGACACATCTGTCCAGATAGTGTATCTAATATATGGGGTGGTTATACATTACATTTCAAGGTGGTGTCAGACGCCATCTACTCAGACTTAAGATGAGTGAATCTGATTAATGTGCTACATGCAACAATGTGGATACTATTGAGCACTACCTGCTACATTGTCAGGATCATGCACAGCTCAGACAAAAGCTGAAAACTAATTTAAGATGTATGAATGTACAATTTTCTCTGTGTGACTGGCAATAGCAAAGGCTCTCTTCATCAAGGACAAGTCTCCTACTATCAATTTGAAACCACCAGATTTGTCACGATGTGGATATTTTTCTCAGAGTAATTTAAGTTTCGATTTAACTACATCTAAGATATAAATACCGTATCTAACTATATCTACGACACATGTACACATCCATTGTGTGTACATATGTCATTTTCAATTTTCAATTTTGAGCATTGTAAATAACTCTTCACCTACTTGATAATTATTACTTCATATTCAAAACTTAAAGTTACCCATATAATCAGACAAAATTACAAATTGCCCTTCTCACTTATTTAAGTTCCTATTGAAGATAATTCCTTGATCACCACTGTTTACCAAAAACCTAGAATGTCAGAAAAGTGCTAAATGAAGAAAGTGAATGCCCTCCAGCAGTGCTTAACCAGCACTGTGTGTGCTCTCATACACAGAGTATTCAAGAACTGCACATCCGAGAGCTATTTAAAAATTGAACTTAGAACTTGTAAACAACCCTTAGTAAATAATGCATTTTCAAATAGGACAGTTAACACTGAAATATCAAATTATTAATAGAGACAGAAAGCTGAAGCAAAATTTAATGGAACCATCACAACAATCGTCTAGCAAAACCAGATGAACAGCGGCCACAAAGTAGATGAACAAGTCCTTCAGTCAATCATCCATAATAATATCAAGAGCACAATTGCTAACAAAAAAACTACTAATCTACTACAAAATTAAGAATATTAAAAACCTTGTCATGAATAATAAACCTTTATAAAAAATCTGCACTACAAGAAACTGATGTCATTTGTAAATTTTCATGTAATATAAAAGGTTTCAGATTTCTTCATGATATAAACTACATTGGTCTTACTAGCTCAACCTTAAGCCACCAACTCATATGCCATCTACAATCTGGAGGACCTTATAACCACACAAAGGAGGCTCACAATGAGACCATCACCCAAGCAACACAGGAGGCCTGCACTAGCATAGTTATGCAGTGCCCTGAAGCTTTGAGACTGGCAATAGCTGAGGCCTTCATTATCAAGATTAAGTCTTCAGCTATCGCCTTGCAACCTACAGGATTATTCCAGATGCTGGAATCATTTTGGCAGTAATTTTAAGTTTAGATCTCAAACTGTATCCACATCACTCATGACTTGTACTACCATCATTTTCAAAAATTCCATTCCAAGTGTTGCAAAACCATCAATTGCTTGATGATGAATATTGTGTCTGCTAATAATCTCAGTCAAGTCATATAGCTGGAAATTAGTTGGCTGAAGCTGATCCTGTATCATCAATGCCACTAACCTCGCCACAGTACTTATGTCTCCAGCCTGGATTTGATTTGAGACGTGGTGACCCTGGAAAAGATATTTAGTAGTTGGGCCTTAAATCAGCTAGCTGCCATGCATCACATATTTGTTAATGTTGGTAAGAGGACTGGAAAGTTTTTCTTATTTTTTGCTAAAGAAATAGGGTAAGGGCCATAGGTCCAGGTGAAATAGGCTTGATTCACAGGTGTTTTTGTCTGATGCACCTCTAGCTTCTGCCACATTTTTCAGTTTGGTACTTTGGTCCTTGGCAATAAATAATTATTTGTTGCTTTTGTATTGTTAATACTTTTACATAATCACTTCCTCTAAAAGGAACATTTATCTTGTTAACAAACTGAACCATAACAGCACAGAACTATTTTGAAAAGTTTTTATTTTTTGTAGACCAAATTTCACCTGCAGTGATCATCAAAATGTGAGCATCAAAAATCATTGATACAGTAAACAAATGATTGTTCCAATGTAGCGTGGATCATTTTGATTATGTTACAAATGTTTAAATTAGGACATTTGTTTGAGCCTCTACTGTACTTTCTAAAATTTCCTACAGTGTTATTATCATTGCTGTCAATTTTATAAACTAGAATAATAAACCTCAGTGATTTAAAATTTTCATCGTGTGAGAAGATGGCATACATTACCAAAGAATGCAGAGTTATGCTGCACCAACTCTCAGATGCTGCCGTCTGCAGTGGCAAACGCCCTGAGCCAAGACTCTCTCAAGCATCTAGTGCTGGCAAAGTAAAGGCTGAAGGTAAGCCAAGTTCCTAATTTCAATTCCATGTTCCTCATCAATTTAAACATCAGAGACAAAAAAATCTGAGTTAAATTCTAAGTTTCTTAGGAGTTTAAATACAATATTTGATAAGATAGTGTGAGAATAAACCACCTTGTGAGTCACTCATCTGAGTGCTCTGAAATTTTTTGTGTAAAGCTCGCATGACTCCTTAGTTGCGTGAATGTTATATGTATTTACTGTTGAATATCTTGTTCCACAGTTTGATGATAGAAGGACGTCTATGTATTTATTTTCCAGCCTTGGAAATGGTTGATCCTTCTCCAGTCATCAAAGTTTCTGCTATCTCCATCAAAAAAGAGCTTGATGATGAAACTGAGGACATATCCATCAAAGAAGAGCCATTCTTGTATGGAAATGAGGTAGATTGAGTTAATATGTTGATGTATATTTTGTAAAGTACTAAAATGGCAGCATTGCCACCATAGATTTTCATGCAAATTTGTCAGAATGCTATTACCATATTTCAAATCTATTCAGCATTTACAAGTTAGGCATAAAGAGTTGAATCTTTTTCCTTAATAAGGTCTTCAGCATTAAGAAATTATTATTAGAGATCAGGCACATATGTCTCAATTTAGTAATTGGCAAGACGTTATGAGAAATATTGTTTAGAACTAATTGCATTATTTTTGCCATTTTGAATACCAACTCACTAATATTTACTATTGTTGCCTGTAGCCAAGTAAAAATGAAATGTAATGACCTTTGCAGGCGAAATTACAACCAGAACTGTCATAACTTTTCTTCATTAAATGGTTTTTCTCTGCTTGTCAATGAATCAATGAAAATTGCAAGGAATAGTTATGGAGAACAAGAACATCTTCCTACAATGTCAATATATATAATTTTCCACCCAAATGATGAGAAAATACAATTACAAGACAATACTATACAATCTTTCATGTTTATGAATGCATATTTTGGTGCAACAAAAATTGAAAGTGTGCACTTGCTTTTAAAATTGCCACTTGAACTTATTTATTCATTCTAAATTTTAAAATGGTTGAGTGATATGTTTTATGCAAAAAGCATTGATTTGATAAGACATTTCATAGCCAGAAATTTGTGATTCTGCCTATTCAATAGCTTTTGATATAAGTTGGAACTTGCAGAGAATTTTATTCAGATTCCTTTAGCATATCCTTCCTCATAAAGTACACACATCACTGCCAGCAACATGACATTGTCCTCCACTTCTCTACAGTCTTGTTCAACTGAAAATCTCAGCCATGCACCTGCATTCTCCTCTTGTTTGCCATGCAAGACAGAAGCTCAAGTTGAGGAACAAAGCAACCACCCAAGCTCATCGCAGAACATTTCTGCTCCGTTAGTGAATCAGGTATATATAGTTCCCAATTCCTTGGAATCAGCAACATTTTGTTTTATTGTTGGTATTTAGGTATAATGTAAGCAAGTGGATAATTGTCTGTTAAGATTTGTGGAATGAATGTAATTTTTCTCTAACTAGTAATCGTGCAAATGGAATCTAATGATACTCAATCTGCAAAAATGGATGGCAATCCTCTAAGCATGGATTCCATCCTTGAAATGGACCTCTAGTTCACACAGTGCAGGAAGTTTTGGAATATGCTTGAGCCCATTACATTAAGCTGAATTTCCTCACTCTGTTGATGTTTTTGTAATCATATCTATGGGAGATTGGAAAAAGTCTACATGATGTGGAAGAGGACCTGTTCTAGATGAATTTTCTTGTGTCCCACCAGGCAACAGTAGTTCTTTTATCTTAAAGTTGTCCATGGTCTATTTTCATTAACATATTGAGTGCACACACAGCAGGTAAAGCCCTACTTCATGTTGCATTAGGCTGTTAGGAATGAGGAAACAAAATTGATTATCAGTTTAATATTGAGAATTAGAGCAGTGAAATTCCACTTCACAATATGAATATTTTTTCAACTCAGTAATTCTGAGAATATTGTTTCAAACTATAAAAAAAATGTGTACTGCCTTGTTGCAAATGGACTGCAACACTTTAGTCAACCCACAGCCCTATTGGAAATTAGCTTTCAAATTTGAAAGTTTATGTACGTATCTGAAATCAATATATTTACCTTCACATGAGTAAGAATTTGTAATACGGTCTCTGTTTTGTTCATGTTTAAGGTTGAAATATCAAATCTATGGCTCAAGTTGCGACCAAGTAATTGTAACTCACTTATTTGCACAGAATAGGAATTAATGCTGAGAGGACCTTGCATGAACCAGAATAGACTGTTAAATTTCAAGTCTCTTGTGTTTATATTTGTCAAAATTTTAATTTCGGTTGAGACAACTAAGTGGTTACAGTTCAGAGCGCCAAGATTGGCGCAGAGAGATGCAGATTTGCTCTGTGAGCCAGTTTCTGGTCAGAATCAGCGAGGAGGCCGGGCAGTTAGGTATAGCAGAATTGGAGCAGTGAGTTGTGAGTTTGAGACGGCAACAAGCTATGAATGTTCTGCGATGTTAAGAATTGGAGACAGGCCTACAGCCTAATAAATGCAGTAACCACTTTATAAGTGATTCTATGGAGAATAAAAGTTAAGAGTCAACAGTTTGATGTGGCTGTTAATAATATTGTTGATTGTTTTCCTCTGTTTTTATTACTAGTGCGGAGTTCGTGGGTCAGCACCGGCATCAGGAGACGCTGCTGATGTCGCTGGCATCTCTGGGGCATCTAACTCCGAGCAACTCATGAGGCTTAGTTGTTCCCAGCGTGGATTGGTGCCTGCGGGTGCGGGACAACTGCAGCAACAAACTCATCAAGAACATCTTGCTTCAGGACCCCACCACTTCTCTCACTGTGATTACACCTCTAGTTCAGGGAGTGGACTGCAGCAGAACATCAATGCTATGCATTCGATAAAAGACTCTTTGCAGTGCCAAGACTGTGATTATACATGTACCACAAAGAAATTAATGCAAAAGCATATAGCCTGCAAACACTTCTGCAGAAGCAAAAACCAGTGTCACTTCAGTTTAAATTCGTGTGCCACAAAAGCTGAACCCAAACAACATATTCTCTTGAGGCATCCTCTGGGAAATTCACAGAAATTCTCTTGTAAATATGCTGATGGCTGCAAACAAATCTTGCGTAAGTGTGGCCTTTCTCAACAGCCAACAATGAAGAAGTTCGGCTGCTCTGAGTGTGATTTTGCTTGTACTACAAAGGGAAGCTTGAAAAGACATTTTCTTTATAAACATTCAACAGAAAAGCCAGTTCAGTGTTCGGAGTGTGATTATGCATGCAACACAAAATATGACTTGAAAAAACATTTTCTTCAGAAGCATTCAACAGAGAAACCTTTTCAATGCTGTGAGTGTGATTTTGCTTGCACTACAAAAGGCAGCTTGAAAAGACATTTTCTTTATAAACATTCAACAGAAAAGCCAGTTCAGTGCTCTGAGTGTGATTATGCCTGCACCACAAAAGACGACTTGAAAATACATTATCTTCACAAGCATTCAACGGAAAAACCATTTCAGTGCTCCAAGTGCAATTATGCCTGCACCGTCAAAGGGAATTTGAAAAGACATTTTCTTGTCAAGCATTCAACAGAAAAGCCATATAAGTGCTCTGTGTGTGATTATGCTTGCGTCACAAAAGAGATGTTGAAAAAACATTTTATTCACATGCATTCAACTGAGAAATCAATTTGTTGCTCAAAGTGCGATTATACTTGCACCACAAAATTGAACTTGAAAAATCATTTTCTTCAAAATCATTCCACAGAAAGACCAATTCAGTGCTCTGAGTGTGATTATGCTTGCGTCACAAAAGGGCATATGAAACAACATTTTCTTCACAAGCATTCAACAGAAAAACCAGTTCGTTGCTCCGAGTGTGATTATACTTGCACCTCAAAAGGGGGTTTGAAAATTCATTTTCTTCACAAGCATTCAACAGAAAAGCCAATTCAGTGCTCTGAATGTGATTATGCTTGCGTCACAAAAGAGATGTTGAAAAAACATTTTCTTCACAAGCATTCAACAGAAAAACCAGTTCATTGCTCCGAGTGTGATTATACTTGCACCTCAAAAGGGCGTTTGAAAATTCATTTTCTTCACAAGCATTCAACAGCAAAGCCAATTCGGTGCTCTGAATGTGAGTATGCTTGCGTCACAAAAGAGATGTTGAAAATACATTTTCTTCACATGCATTCAACAGAAAAACCATTTCAGTGCTCTGAGTGTAATTATGCTTGTGTAACAAAAGGGAAGTTGAAACAACATTTTCTTTGCAAGCATCCAACAGAAAAAAAATTAATTTGCCGAGTATGATCATGCTAGCGTCACGAAAGAAGTTTTGAAATATATTTCTTCACAATCAAACGGAAAAGTCAATCCAGTGCTCTCAGCGTGATTATGCTTGCACTGCAGGAAGGTTCTATTATAACAGCAAGCAATCATCCGGAAAAGTCTTCCAAGTATGTTTATACTTGTATCAAAAACGCTCTACTCTACAGACAACTGTTACATCTACTATTGAAAAACATCTACTATCCAGACAACCCTAATAAAAACGTTTCTTGAATCAAATGGATGGACGGAGCTATAAACAGGAATCAAGCGCAGAACATATGATCTTCTATCACAACGAGATCGAGTTATACTTAGTACCCAACCTCAGGCACCCACTGCCACCAAGGATGAGGAGGTCAGCTATTTATTGTCCCCAAAGGCGGCAGTTGCATGGAGCGACATGACTATGAAGCTAATGCCTCTGTCTTGTGTAGGCCGCAGGGCCACTTCATTGGAATACCAGCGAGTATTTTTCTTGAATAATTCTTGAGAAACTGGCAGCCGGTGCTGTAGTGAGAGTGGCACCCATGCTTCTGGAATAACTATTTTTCAGGGATAGACTTAACTGACAGGTTTCTGACTGCTGCTCTTGTATTGTTAAAGGTGAGATTGACATTACCAGTAAATCAGTAACCTTGGGAACTCAAGATGGTTAATGGAATTTATATCTTTTGTTGTCGACAACATTTGTCTCATGCTCTTTTTGGGAGATTTTACTGAGTTTAATTTCTCAGAAAAAACAATAAATGTAGATATAATATTGCCTTAAGTTTTAAAATAATTTGCATTTAAAAATTGATATTTAAAGACAACACTTCTAAAGAATCCGGTATCTCTGATGTTACACATGGACAATAATTTTTAATTTTTGTTTTCAAATATTAAAAAAAGTAGTGTTCAAATTTTGTAATATATAAAAATTTTCAAAAATTTCAAATTTATTTATTCTGTCAACTAAATCATTCATTGTCTCTGACTTTATGCAAGTTTGCAAAATTTCAGATTGATTGGATAGGTAGAAATGTGTTAAATATTGATTATAAGATTTGTAGCAAACAAAATTATTTTTTAATTTTTCCTAATATTGAAAAACAGAAAATTTTAATTTTTAAAATTATTTATTCTGTCAATTGGATCAGGCATTGTCTCCAACTTTAAACAAGTGTACAAAATTTCATATCGATTGGACAGGTAGAAGTGCGTCAAATATTGATTACAAGATTTGTAGCAGACAAAATTATTTAAAAATTTTTTTAGTTTCAAAATAATTTATTCTGTCAATTGATTCATGCATTGTCTACAATTTCATGCAAGTGTGAAAATTTGCAGATAGATTGGACAGGCAGAAGTGTGTTAAATATTGATTATAAGATTTGTAGAAGACAAAATTATTTTAAAATTTTTCTTAATATTGAAAAAAAAATTAAATTTAAAATTATTTATTCTGTCAGTTGATTCATGCAGTGTCTCCAATTTTATGCAAGTGTACAAAATTTCAGATCGATTGGACTGGTAGAAGTGTGTTAAATATTGATTATAAGATTTGTAGCAGACAAAATTATTTAAAAATTGTTCTTAATATTGAAAAAAAAAATTTCCTAATTTATAAAATTATTCATTCTGTCAATTGATTCATGCATTGTCTCCAACTTTAAGCAATTGTGCGAAATTTCAGATCAATTTGAGAGGTAGAAGTGTGTTAAATATCGATTACCATATAAGATTTGTAGCAGACAAACAAACGAACAACAAGAAGTGAAGTTAGAGAGAAGTGTTGTAATAAGTGATTCGTTTTTAAATCTTGCTTATTTACAGAAAATCTTGTTCTTAAATAATGTCAAATGTATTTCCATTCACGGTATTTTTGGACTGTAACCTCCATCTTGATTCATTACAGTCTGATTAAGTTTTTAACAAAACCAGTCAACACCTCCAGCCTCAGCTGGCCGGACTTGACGTTTTGTCCATCATGTATACTGGAATGATAATTGAAAAATACATTTCATTTAATTATATCGTTTGTTTCATTTGCTGATGATCATAATTATTATGCTAAAGATGATGATTATTACGGTGACAACAGGATATGTATAAGGTTGGACATAAAGGTTGGACGTAAAGAAAACAACGTAAAGACCTGAAGACATAAAGGTTGGATTACAATTTCGTTTGTTAGTTTGAGTTGATAGTTACATAATTAGTTATTATAAATTAATATCAAAAGTCTTCCCTGTGATTCACACTTGGGGTGTTTTATTAGTATATTAGTTATGAGACGCGTCATAGAGGTGGTGCAAGCGGGTTGACTGGTTGTTGGGTAGTGCGAGATCTTTGATTTATGAAACCTTTGATTATTGAGACTTTCCACCTCGTTGGTGATGTAAATCTTGACTCCATGTGCGAGATAGCTAAATAGCTGAAGCCCTAGTAAACCTGTGGCCAGTAAACTAACTAACTGCTTTGAGACGGTTAGGAGTAGATTCAACAAGGATAATTCCAGGCTTAAAGGGTAAGTCTTAAGCGGAAATATTAGTGATTATGAAGCTTCCAGGTCTACGTTATTGTCTGCGTAGCAACTTCATTGAAGTATACTAATGGGTTATTCAAGATTCCAGTAGAATTACTAAAATATGAAACAAGGAGCAACACCAGAGGCCACTGCTTTCGGCTTAATAAACTGCAGCACGACTGATCAATGCCATAATTTTCTTCTTGCTTCAGGTCACCGATATGTGGAACAGACGATGACATTGTTGAAGCTCTGAGTATGAACGCATTCAAGAAACGACAAGATGAAGCTATGCAAGAGTATATGTTTCGACTAGAAGTCCCACCTCACAAATTGGTTTGGTCGCAGCTGCTTGGCTTCATCGTCAGTTTTGGAGAGATCTGATAAAAAGTCCAGTCCCCAGACCTAAGAGACGGTCAAGAGAGCATTATCATAATTGGCACTAGGCCAACTCGACCTAATCTGCAACGCCGATATTCCTGTTATGTTAATAACATTCACTTGATTTTTTTACCGGTGTTAGCACAAACACGTGTAACAATTGTTGTTCATCATGTATAACCTTTAGTGGGCAAGCATTGAAATATCCAGAAATTGAAATTTCAGAAACCAGTTCAATAAAGTAAGAAGTATTGTACGAAATATTTATTTGTAATTTTTTTTTTAATTTGCCTATTGGAGGTTTGAATCACACTCAAAGAATTTATTTAATGTGGTCACTACTCAAAATATTTTCTTTGTAATTAAAATTCAGTTTATTCAAATGAAAAAATTAATAACCTAACAATTTATTTCAATTCAGTCAAGTTACCATAAATAACTAAATATATATTCATACACCCGCCTTTTGAAAAAATGCTCAAAGAGTGACAATTTCATCATCCGAGTCAAAACCTTCATTCAAATGCTGGAAACACAGCCGTGAACCACCAAATTTGTGCACAAATCAGCCCTGAAAGGAACGACTAGCATAGATGACCACCTATCAGCCGCGGACTAAGCCATCCGTCAGTAACCAGCCAATAACATCTTGCTCTGAATATTAAGGCCCGTTCACACTAGGGGCAACACACTGACGTCAAGTGCTTCACCGCCCCTCTAGTGCGATTCTTGTGGGCAACGAAGCGCTTGACGAGCTAGCAATTCACAGGCGTCCTGCCTCATGCAACACAAGCGCCGCACTCAGTGGACGGCTGTCTGTGGTATATATATATAGCGAGGTTGTCTGTATACGCTGGTCCTTCACTATGTCAACTAACGCCCCACTTGTTTCGACTCACTCTCTAGTAGAGAGGCTAATTGATCTTTGTAGACAGCATGACTGCCTGTAGAGAGCTCAGTCAAAGGAGTGTAAAAGTCAAAATGCAAAAGAACAAGCTCTGGTAAAAATAGTTGAAGTTTTAAAAAACTTTTGTGTACATGTCACCATTGACGAGGTTCGCAAGAAAATTCATATGTTGCGTTTGCAATTCAATCGTGAAATGAATTTCATTGCAAATAAAATAGGGTTAAAATTCCTCAAAAGCATGCATCCTCCTGACTAAGCTGGCAGTGGATAAAAATAATGCTGGAATTGCTCAATTTCTCTGCCCAGCTGCCAAACAACCTGCAATCCTGCATGCAACTTTAAAGCCTAATATTGCAAATGTTTTATACTATTTTACCTCAACATGCCATATCAAGGATGAAAATCAATTTAGTCCAAAATTTATTTAGAACTCACTTGCCGAGGTTTGTCTGGAAACAGATATAGAGATATATACTTCTTGAGTTGTTACTAAAACTCTCCTGCCATTTTTGGAGCCACGAATCAGCTTTTGAACAAATTATGTACTACATAGGTAGTTGTTAAAATCATGGTACAACTGGAACTGAGCCAGCATTAAACTTATTATAACCACTGTATACCATACCTATTCCCACTGTGGACCAAGTTTCTGAAATTATAAATAACTTCTTGCTTGGCACCAGCATTCAATTTTGTTTCTCAGAAGAGTTCCACCTATGTTTCCACCCTTGACCCTTCCAAGTTTTACTTGAATTTGATGATGTAATCCTAAACATGAATATTTTTACTTATATGTGTGTGTATCAATAATCAAGTTATAGAAAGTTATGACTAATCTTCTAACAGATAAAAAGAAATACTTAAATAAACAGATCCCTAAGTAATTTACCAATTTCTGTAACATGTACTCCAAGAATAAATCCTCACTTTAAGCGTACAAGTTTGTTCTACCTGGCAGTGCACCAGGTTACACCTTAATGAGCACTGAGTCTATCAATCATTCTCTGTGATATTGATCATGGATTACTATCTTTGAAGGAGCGTAATGGCATCTGCTAAAATCCCTCTTCAACATCTCTGGAGCCATGAATTTGGCTTCTTCAACCTATATTGTTGAAGACGTCTGACCTTCACAGTTGGCTATAACAACACATAAGTTAATGCACATTTATACCAGCCCTTGAAGCTGTAGCCAAGGCCATGGCCTGAAGAGATGATACCTGAACATTGATTCATGATCCATTCTACGAATATATACCTATCAAAGCCCTGCCTCCTCACTTACCCCATCTCTCCACCTTCCTGCAGCCAATGACTGTTATGTTAGGTCCAGTTGAGTTGGGTTTTGGTAAAAAGGTGAAGTAAATGTGATGATATGGCCGTGATGGGTTTATATCTGTAAAATGGGACTGGTTTACCTATCAATTGTAAGTGATAAATCAGCTTGTAATCTTTGTAGATGAAAGAAAGAACATCAAGGAGCTGTGAAAGACAATACCAGATATTAATAAGATGTAAATGTTGAGTTCTCAACTAGGCTTCCAGTCTATCATTTATGAAGATTTACTGAATAATAACTAGTTTCCAAGGCATTTTTTGCAATGAATATTAATTGTTATAATTTCCACATCTGAGCCCATGTTTCATTATTGGCTAAACTGAAAATAAACCTGTTATTCTGATGACTGTGAGCCCAATACTATGGAACAACTGAAATCTAGAAGCGATTTTAAATCTATCGTCCATTGAAAAGATTTGATCAAAAGGTCAGTCTAGTCAAGAAAAATACAAGAATTGGCAACAGGCCTATCCAGGCCTATTCTTGATAATTCTTCAATGCCAAAGATAGTACCTACTATACTATACTAATACTACTATTTACTGGAAATATGTTCATATTAAAATATATGAAATTTTATTATGCTTTCCAGAAGTATTCTACAGGACTCCAGCAGAGATGGAGGAGGTGTCACCCACCTTGCATGCATCCTCTGATGTTGAGGATTTTGGTTCGGATCAGAAGTTATGTAATTTAAATGCAGACTGCTGGCAGATGCAGCCTTCACAGCCAAGTTGTGTTACTGGTAATTACTTATTGGTAATATTTGGATTCATTTACTAATAAATAATGCAAATTAAAAAAATTACAAACGTCAATCAAACTCATGATAAAATTTTTGTTTTAAAATATTTCCTACTTTTTCCATCAAGATTCTGGTTTAGTTGAATGTACTTTATTCCTATAACAAGAACAACAATAATTTCTAGCATCTCTTTACTCTGACCGTTCATGCAGAAATTGAGAAAAAATTGAAATTTAATTATTGTTTATACCCTACGGAACAGGTACAATTTGCCCTTCAAATTTTTTGCTTTAGCTCAAATCTTGCACCAAAAAATTGCTACTCATTTATAGTTTTTTCTTTTGCTGTTGTGCATAAAAATTAATTCAATTAAATTATTAAAAAAGTTAGCCAGAATTCTTGAAATACTCATGAACTATTTAGAATAGAATAGAATAGAAGTGTCGGCGTTGAAGACATAGGCCCATGGCCTAGCGTATCTTAGAATCATTGTACATTTTTAAGCTTAGGCCCAGTTTAAATTCAGCTGTGAGCTCCTATCCCCTTGAAATTGTGAATAGATAGGTTTTTATGCCCTATTACTTGTAAATTTAGGTTCTAATTGTGTTCTGTGCTTTCAATTGTATTAACTTGTGACTTTCTATGTCTATTCTAGCTTGTAAGCTTTGTAGATAAAAAAAAAGAACATCAAAGAGCAGTAAAAGACAATATCAGATCTTAATAAGATGTAAATGTTGAGTTCTTAACTAGGCTTCCAGTCTGTTATTTATGGGGATTTACTGGATAATAACCAGTTCCTAAGGCATTATTGGCAATGAATATTAATTGGCATAATTTCCGCGTCTGAAACCATGGTTCATTTTTAGCTAAACTGAAAATAAACCTGTTATTCTGACAACTATGAGCCCAATACTATTTACATAAAATATTTTAAAGCCTATGAACTTATATTATGCTTTCCAGAAGCATTCTACAGCACTATGGGACTCCAGCAGAGATGGAGGAGGCATCACCCACCTTGCATGCATCCTCTCATGTTGGGGATTTTGATTCGGATCAGAAGTTATGTAATTTAAATGCAGACTGCTGGCAGATGCCGCCTTCACAGCCAAGTTGTATTACTGGTAATTACTTATTGGTGATATTTTGATGCATTTACTTATCAATAATGCAAATTAAAAAAAATTACAAACGTCAATCAAACTCATGATAAATTTTTTATTTTAAAATATTCCCTACTTGATATGTTGATAGGTCCAAATGTTGATGGGTTCAAAGACCCGCAACAGCCTCACTGGAGATGCGCACTTCACGAGAGCTGCACCAGCTCATCTATTGGGGCGCGTCAGCCTCTATGAAGAGACACACACTGATATAGAGTGACGCTCCAGCTTCTCTTAGGAAGCCGCACCAGCTTCTCTACAGAGCGACACCAGCGTCTCTAGATGGCTGCACCAGCTTCTCAAGATGGCTGCACCAGCTTCTCTACAGAGCGACACCAGCGTGTCTAGATGGCAGAACCAGCTTCTCAAGATGGCTGCACCAGCGTCTCTATATGGCAGCACCAGCTTCTCAAGATGGCTGCACCAGCTTCTCAAGATGGCTGCACCAGCTTCTCAAAATGGCTGCACCAGCTTCACAAGATGGCTGCACCAGCTTCTCCAGAGTGCAACACCAGCTTCTCTAGATGGCTGCACCAGCTTCTCTAGATGGCTGCACCAGCTTCTCTAGAGTGCCGCTCGATCTTCCCTTAGAAAACCGAACCATCTTTAGAGAGCTAAACCAGCTTCTCTATGGTTTTTTTTTAATTCATTCCGCTTAAAATTTATGAATGTACTACTTACCTCATTGTTATTTACTCTTATTTACATTGTATTAATTTTTTACGTGACCCATCCCTGACATTTTCGACTGAGTTGTAAATCGAAGCATACAAAAAATTGAAGAATTATTTCTTTATATGAATGTAGCATTACAATAGAATAGACAATGTATTTTCTCTGGTGTATTCCTAAGTGTTATTAACATCTACAACAATTATTTATCAAACTTCAGGTACAACGAAAATATGTAACAATATTTTATCGTATTTCAAGTTGCTCCCGCAAGTTTTTGGCATTTAAAGCACTCAGGCTTTACTACGAATGATATTTAGCCTCATCCTCATTTTGTAAAGCCACGTCAGAAATTGCAGCGTGCCTTGTTAATACGGAATAGCACGATCAAATTCTAGCATTGCATCAATCTTTTATTTCACCTTCTACCGCCTGACATTAGTAACTGGAGCAATATTGTCACAAACCTACTTCCCAAATAGGATACGTTCCAGTGAACGCTTTGACTTGCACTGAAGGTTGCCGCCACATACGACAACTTTAAAATGTTCTCTATTGCGTACAAACGTCCTCAGGTTGCTACACTCAATAGTTTACGTATGATCTAAGTTGAAAGTTGTGTTTCCGGAGAGTGACATACGACGGTATAGGTTTAAGGATCACAGCTCTTGAGCATGTCGAAAAGTTTATAGACTTTGAGTGACTATTGGATTTGGAGCAGTCGAAGCTGATTCATATCCAATCAATATTAAAAGGGACATCACGCTAGTTTATACGGGGCTTCGCAGTGCTGGTATCCGTCTGGCCAATCCAATTCTCAGTTGAAGGGCTGTGGCCAACCTAACCTCGCGCAAGCTGGTCGCTACTGCAGAATGGAATAGAATAGAAATGTCGGCACTGAAGGAATAGGCCCATGGCCGGTTGCCGATTCTTGTACTTTTCGTGACTTGATTCACAAGGGATCCGGTCTTTCCATAACTGACGATTGATTGAGATAGCTGCTGGACTTATTGCCTGGTCTGTAATTTCTATTGGAATTTTTTTCCTGGTCTGTAATCTATTATTGAAGGCGTTCATACTCGGAGCGTCAACGATGCTATCAGGGAGGCTGTTTCACATGTCGGTGACTCGAAGCGAGAAGAAATGTTGTCGCATGGATGTGTTCCAACGCTGTTTTTTTTAGTTTAGTTGCACAATCTGCTCAGTGTTAACTCATTAACCTTTCCTTTAATGAAAGTCAAAGCGATGCATGAGAGGAAGCGAAGTGTACATAACTGATAACTGATATCTCAGATCATGATATTTGTGAGCCATCATTAGTACTCTTCTATACAGCAAGATTTACATTTTGAGCATCATATGATAGGAAATAAATAAATCATATAAATATAATAATAATAAAAATATTTATATTAAAATATAAATAAATAAATATATTTTATTTACAAATAAATATATTTATTACCTGAAGTACGAATAGATGCCGACGTAGCACTGTTACGTCCTTTTGCGGGCCAAATTGAATCAGGATGACCTACACGAGGGCAAAAGTGCATTGCTGTTTGGACAACGACTTTCTAATTTCTCTGAGAGAAACGAGTTTATTCTCCGCCTATGGCGCCCTGACGAGATTGAGACTGAACACTTCGCTTCCTCTCATGCATCGCTTTGACTGCATCACTTTTCATTTAAACAGGTAGGTTTATGAGTTAACACTAAGCAGATTGTACATAGCCTTTTATTGCGCTGATAACTGTCGGGGGCCGTACTATCGAAATATGCTTAAGCACAATTAGCGACATAATAAGTACACGTAGCGGCATAAGTACACGTAGCGACTTTAGTTCACGTAGCGCCATAAATGCACGTAACAGCCGATTTTTCGTCGGTGATTGGTAGGTTTCGCTTGAAAAACCGTCAGTGATTGGCTGAAGTAGTTACAAACTCGTAACTATTTCTGAAAGTACGGCCACAGAACTGTTGTTGTGTTTCCCAACGATTTGCAAATATTTAATCAAAATATACAAGAATTTAATAGTAATTGGAACAATAAATATCTATTTGAGATCTTAAGATTTCAAAAATCAAAACGATGTTTACTATTTTTTATAGAGAAGCACTAGTTATCGTAACTTCCCGCAGGAAAAAACATTGTAGTTATATTTTACTTTAATTGAAGAAAATTGTGACAAAATTTCAAAGTTTGTAAATATTGTGTGGAAGTTTCAGAATCTGTGAAGAGGTTTAGTTCACCTCGGTGAATGTGAGCTATCACGAAATTCACGCACAAAACAGAAATAAAATTGACCAGTTTCACGATGGATAGATTTCTTTGGTGAGTTTCTGCGTAGGCCTAGTGAGCAAATTTCTTGTATAAAAATTGATATATTTTATCCGCTTGTAAAATCTCGATAGAGTGCTTGAATATACCTACCTGAAAAACATAAATGGTGACTTCAAGAAATGGTGAATTCAAGAAATGGCGACTTTAAGTGAATAGTCGAAGATAAAAGGGATAACTGAAGAGGTGCCATTTCCTGTGATCATTCATTTTTTAATGAATACAGGTGATGCACGGTAAAAGCCATTCAAGTGGAGCATGAAACTATGGTTTTAGTTTTAAGTCAGGAATTAGTGGAGTGAAGATTCGAACGTATAGTCTTTTATTTCAGCCTGGTATTCATCGCTTCAACACATTTCGTTAATTTGATAGTTCGTTTCACACTGTTCTAGGCCAGAATCATCAAGGGGAAGTTGAACTAATCACATTAAAATTTGGGCTAAAGCAAACCAGGCATCAATCAAAATAATCTCTTGATGATCTCTCTGCCAGGGAGGTCATCAAGAGGAGAGTCATGACGATCATAATGAAATCCAAAGACGAAAAATTTTAAGCTAAAACTCTAAAGGAGCAATGGATGTGGATATCAATTGGCTGTTGTCCTACCAGTTGACGCCGAAAGGGTTAGCCTGGCAGACGGGAAAGAAGGACTGTGTGAAAACATCGTCTTGGAGTTTGTCGTAAGCGTAGATGAAGATGTGATCATTGTCGTGATCGATTTGAATGTCTTCGAGATTCAAATTAGTGTCATTCACGTGAATGCTTCCTTCGATCATCGGTTGGCCATTCACTTTAACCATGTCCACGAAGAAAAACCATTTACTTTCAGCACAATTCGATGCAGACCATGGTTTCGCCCCTAGGCAAAGTTCTAACATGATGGGCATTTGCTCTTTGAACCTAACGGCCACCATTCGGAAACCAGTAACGTTCTTGCAAGCTTCTTTAGTCGCGTTGAAATCAGGGACGAGAGAATCGAGTCGTCGGTATACCAGGTTATCTACTCCGAGATGGTCCCGTGAATCTGTTGATGGAGAGCATGTTAGCAGAGTTCGTTTTTAGCATCTGACGTCGAGTCCTTATTGTCTTCAATGTCTAATACTCCTATCAGTACCGAAATAACTTCCTCACAAGCACACAGACCGCAGAGGAGCGTACAACTATTAGGTTATTATCGTCTGACTAAGTGGCCCACAGTAGCTAGGTATTTGTTAAGCATAACTACTCTTCAAAACACAAGCTGTTTCAAATACCTCCTCCGATGAAAATGTGTTAGGCAAGCATTGTCGCGTTTATAAAATAAATATTAACGCAAAGGATACGAAAAAGGAAAACTTCTCGTTAACTCAGAGAATTTCCCGGGAAGTTGGTAACGGAACCGATTTGAACTGGGGGCGCATCCTTGCGCTGGAGAACGCTGCAGCCACTTAAAATTCGTGCCTATATTTTGTGATGAAATTGTTATTGCCGTAAAACCATACAAATTACAATTAAAACATTTGTAGCTGATATCCAGTAGAAGCGAGAACATTTATTTTTGTGTGATTAGCTAACCTGTGTCGTGTTTAATTAGAAAGCTTGTGGGTGACTGTGACCGCCATCTTCAAACTGGAAATCTAAACTTTGTCTGGGCCTGCCAGGGTAAAGTGTGGAAATTAGTTATCTGAGTGCCTGAAGCAGATTGACCTGCTGTAATTAATGATTTCAAAATGGCTTATTTAACGATTAGGGTTTAAGTAACTCGCCATTTAATTTAGCTATGTCATGTTTCTTTTTAACATACTGACTCATGTTTCTCTAAGAGAAGTTTGAATCTCCTTGATTGAATCATTCAAGTGGTCAGTGCCAATGAAGCAGATAATGTGTAGTAGATCAGAATTCAATATGTATTAGTCAGATAGATCCAGTCTGAATAGCTAGTATGAATTATGTTCGAATTTTCAGTTAAATAATCATTCAGTAAAATTGAAGGATACCAGAATTTGTTAAATTGCTTTTCTTGCTATTTTTATTTATAATGTATGACAACCTTTCGTTCTCTCGCAGGTATTGTCGGATAGAATATAATTCAGTTTGTTCAAAGCATTTTTTATTATTTGTTTGTCCAAAGCGAAGTCGTCAAAGAAGTGAGTAATAAATGCCTAGCCAGGGTGTAATTTCATGTCTAATTGTAGACGCTACCGCAGGCCAGTATAGCACCTGAGATTACAATTTGGTAGCCTATCTTAAGAAAATTAATCTGCCTTCAGGGCATTTGCTTTTGAATTAACCTAAGGTGCTAGTTATCACGATGCTTACCACTTATTGTGCTTAGTTTTGCCTTATTCTGCTGATGTTAGCTTTAAAAATGTTTCGGCTCACGTTGACCAATGTCCTAGATTTATTCTGAACGTCTTGATGTCTAGGCTCTGCAAAACGACTTTTGAACTCGAGAATTATTGACTGGGCTGTTGAGCGCTCACTCTTTTAGATTCAATTGTGTTGAAAGGCGTTTTCAAATTTATAATTAATTTTTCATTGGCGCAGAAATGTGAACATGTTAATTTGAACTTTTTTAGCTAATAATTTGATATCTGATTTTCATTTTCAATTGATGTTATTTGAACTATTTCTAATTGAGTTCTTAATGTGCACGATTTCTACTTTGGGAAAGGGGAAAATAAACGATTAAAGGAATATCGCCTTTTGCTTTCCTATCGCCCTCGACTTATGGTTAGGCGACTCAACTTCAGTATTATTACTCTGCATCCGTATAGTTGCGACAAGCATATTCCTTTATTGTCCGTTATGTTGTTTAAATACTTAAACATGGAGAATGCAGCAGAAGTCACGTTTTAAGGGGAAGATGTGCTGTAGATAATATCTTACCCCGGCGGATGTAGTAGACAGAGTTGCGTTCAGGGTGGGGCCAGGTGATGTAGATGCTGACGTTGGTCACCGAGCACTCGAATCGATCGTAGCCAAGGGAACGAACGCTGAAGGCCTGGCAGCCTGAGGCCTGGCACAAATGTCGACACTCGCCTGTGTCCGGAGGAATGTAACTGGGATTAAAATCAGGAGTGTACCTCGCGCTCCACAAAGTTAGTTTCTGCAAGTAAATAAGTCTAAAACAGCGAAGAACTGAGAAACAACAACTTTATTTGTTTCGCAATATCAGAAGAACATAGAAATACGTTTCTCTCCGGTCACTGACTGGTATAATTATGACAAAATTAACTGGTGTCGAGAAAAATAAAATTCAAAGCCTGTTAATTTGAAAACTACTTCTTTTCACTCTATATTATAGAGATAACTTACATGTTCTACTTATTACAAATATATTATCTCTATACCTCAGTATATCGTTATTTCAGAAATATCACTTCCCCTTCCACTGCCATTAGGAACATTCATACACCCGCAACAGTGTGGATTAATAATGTCACAGAATTTGTCATAATTTCCCACCCCTTAGTTACAAAAGTAATCACTCACACGCTCGCAGCACCTCCACCACGTCCATCACACTCTCAGGGTTCACCATCTTGTATCGCATGGAGAGGAAGTCGCTGTAGTTCGACACGTGTGCCGTGTCGACGAGCAGAGATGCTGTTCCTGCAGCAAGGTGGAGGAATCCGAAGCTCAGTATGATGACCATCGTTGTGGCATGCAAGGTAGTCATGCTCTTCATCAAGGTCGTGGCATACAAATCAGTCATGCCTTTCATCAACGCCGCGGCATGCAAGACAGCCATGCCCTTCATCAAAGCCATGGCATGCAAGGTAGCAGCCATGCTCTTCATAAACGCCATGGCATGTAAGGCAGCTATGCCTGTCGTCAACACCGTGGCATGCAAGGCAGCGATTACCTTTTGCAATGACATGGTAAGCAAGACAGTCATGCCTTTCGCCAACGCCGTTACGCGTAGGACAGCCCTGTTCTTTTTTGTCGGTTCACCCATTTAATAATGTATTGTTATTGATGACCAAGTTCAAATCTTCATGTTGGTTGAAGCAAATATTTGTGTAAGCATCAAGCGTGTTTCAAATCGGATTATATTGAAAGTCTTTACAAACTTTGTAGTGAAGTATTCCTGTTCTGACGACGATTAACGATGATCGAATATTGGGGATTAAAAATTCTTCTTGTCGAAATTATTTATAAATTATTTCAGAATGCTAATTAACATATCAAATACAGCAAAACATTTTATCTAATTAATTAATGACTATACACCACTTACTGAACCCTAAACTGAACAAAGGAAACACCGTTCTGGGATAACTGCTGCCTTGGTTGACTTGATTCTAATGAACAATGTGACTAGACTCACTTTACATAAAAATGTTTCCAACGTTATAACTTGTAATGCTAGATTGAAGCACCAATTCTATGTCAAAACCATTCCAATATTATAATATGTAATGCAAAATTATGTCATCTATTCTAATTTAAATTACTCCAACTCCATAAATTTTAATGCTATATTATACCACATCTTCTACATCAGAATCATTTTTACTCTATAAGATGTAACACCAGATTATAGCATAACTCTCACGCCAAAATCATAACGTGTAAAATCATAACTCTACAACATGTAAGACTACGCTAGATTATACCACAATAATCACAACAAAATAATTCAAACATTCCAACTTTCAACACTAGAATATACTCCCTCTACTCCATCAAACTCTACACTACCAACCGCGGGGCCTAAAGCGTGACTATCGCCTCCTCAATTCCACCGTGTACAAAATGCAATAATCTTTTAGCCGCCAGTGAGGCTTCAGCTGAACACGTTTTCGTTAGTACGAAACTTTTTCAGTAAAAGTTTTTGCTGGGGGCTATCAAACTGAGGATAAGTAGGGGTAATTCCTCGGGTTGACAGTGATGCTTCAGCTGACAACTCTTTCGTTAGTACGTAACTTTCTCGGTAAAAGTTTTCGTTGGGGCCGTCAAACAAAGGATAAAATAGAGGTAATTTTTCGGGTCGCCTCGAATAACGATATCGGAGAAGGTTTATCGAGGTTTAGTACGTGGTACAAATACAATATTTCGTGTTTCCGATATTACGGAATATTTTTTGATGCATTGTGTGTATTGGGTTCATGAATAATCAACACGACTTTAATGATTATGAAGGCTTCAGATTCAGGTTGCCTGTTAATTCACACGTTTTTATTGCCGATTTATGGCTAAAGTTAGACATTAGAAATTATTCAAATTTACTAAAACGAATTACCACACATTTTTATTTTTTGGAAAAATATTTTCTTCCTGATGTAACAAAATAAATAAACTCACGTTCATGAATTTTAATAGTTTAATCTCTTGCAGTTTAAATATTTTAATATTGTGTAATATTAAATATTTATTATTAAATATTTTAATATTTAAACTGCAATTTTAATAGTTTAATCTCTTGTTTTCGTTTGGAACTGCAAAAACTTGGTTCACAATAATCCTTTCTTTCGCATTTTTTCGAACATTTATTTATTCGTGGAGATGTTTCGTACTAATTTCCATTTTTATACTTAATTTATATCTTGAGCATAATGTAACGCTCAAACCATGAAATAATTAATTAATCAAGCCAACTCATATAAATTATTATTATTATTTCGACACTGATGAAGGAAATTTTCGAACTCGTTTATAAATTATTTATAACAAAGAATTCGTATTCTATTACATGTACCTTAAATGTGATTTTTGCGCATTGATTTTTACTACGCATATCCGAAATATAACAAAACTTGGATGAGCAATGAAAATAATGTATTACATTTGTGGACTCAATGCAATGAAAAAATTGCAATACATTTGTGGTTTGATTGTAAATTTCTTCATTTTGAGATAAAAAAATAATTTCCAAACACTGAATCTTTTGAGCATTCAATTACTCGTACGAAATTTATCCAAGTACATGCATTCATATCTCGTTCAGTTGCGTTGCAGAAAAAGATCATTATAAGTTTTTTACCTTGCCATTACGAGCTATTTAACCTTGCCTTTAGAAGCTATTTTACTTTGCCATTACGAGCTATTTTATCTTGCCATTACGAGCTATTTTACTTCGCCATTGCTAGCTATTTTACCTTGCCATTACGAGCTATTTTACCCTGCCACTACGAGCTATTTTACAATGCCATTACGAGCAATTTTACAATGCCATTGTTAGCTATTTTACCTTGCCATTACTAGCTATTTTACCCTGTCATTGCTAGCTAGTTTATCTTGCCATTACGAGCTATTTTACATTGCCATTGCGAGTTATTTTACCTTGTCATTACGAGCTTTTTTACCTTGCCTCACGAGCTTCGCCATTTGCTCGGCTATCAAAACAAACTGAGCTGAAAACTTTTCTCGCTGAACCACTCAGCAGCTTGAAAGTTTTTATGATACCAATTCAGCCACAAAATTGCCCACAGATTTTTCTGGCTTGCAGAAGCTCAGGGCCAAAATGTTCTGAGCCGCAGCAACTGTGCAAAAATAGAGCCAGATTACGAAGTTTTTAGCGCATCGGAATTGTTTGGCCTGGGATAAATGTCAGCAGGTGTACTTTTGTAATCGAACTTATGTCATCAGATGTACATCTGTAAAATATCAGATGGTGTACTTTTGTAATCGAATAAGTATCAGCAGATGTATATATGTAATCGAGCATGTGTCAGCAGGTGTACATTTGTAATCGATCATGTGTCAGCAATTGTAAATTTGTAATCGAACATATGTCAGTAGGTGTACATTTATTATCGAACATGTGTTAGCAGGTGTGTACATTTTGATTATTCGTATATACATAATAATAATCGTGTACTGACTTCTACACTTTTCCTTCAAGTTATTATGTAACATCGATAGAGTTTAACAGATTTGTGTGGACTGACTCGGCAGTAGGCCCATTTGTTACAGTTCCGAGCACCAAAATGGGAGCACTGACTCTTGAGTTGTGTGTTCTATAACAGCTTCATGCTATAGTTCCGGTCAAAATATGCGAGGTTGCCTGGCGATTGAGACTGGAGCAGTGAGTTGTCGGTTCGAGACCGAAGGCAGCTTTAAATAAAAATTTTGTGATGTCGTTAATCAGTGACAGACCCAATTCAGCCCATTCAACGCTAACATCGTAATTACTATTACAGTGACGTATGAGCGCTGTGTCGATGTACCCAGATGACGTAAGCGAGTTATGGGTGTAATGTGCATATTATGAGTGTCAACCTCTACCTACATAATCTAAAATTCCGGTCACGGCACTAATGGGTAAGGGCAAAGCGAACGGAAATGAAAAAGGGGGCGTGTCGTCAGTGAATCTTCGGCGAGGACTCGCCAAAGTGATCTCTTATGTGACCGGCGTACCATCACTGGCGTACCGTCACCGGCGTACCGTCACCGGCGTACCGGCGTATCATGAACCTTGGCCAAGACAGTTCCAGTAATGTCAGGGCAATGAACTTTGATGCGCAAGAGATATGACAGTAAAATAGTTTTTTATGATTCGAAATAGAAGCGCTCTCAATGTTGAAATTATTTGCATGCATTTGTTCATTTGAATTGATGTGATCAATAGATGTTAGACGAAAGGTGTATTACTGAGGTGCTTTTCCATGATAATCGAATAATAAACCAATTATAATTAGAAACTTTGAGTTATATTGGTAACTTAATATTGTTAAATACTAGCACTATGTCATAATTAGTAAGTTTGCATCCAGATAAATTAAGCCCTCAAATAATTAAAGAAAACGTGGCAGTGGGACAAATGCGCTACATTATAGAAATTCACGGTATCTGCCGAGGGTCCTTACATACGAGATGATCATAAGTAACGTACAATATCGCAAGAAGCGCATATATGTATTTCATTATACGTGAGAATAATGTAACACAAATACAGCCTTAAGGATAACTTTGCTAATATGAACCAAGTGATTACAGACAAAAACAGACACCAATTAAGGCACAGATTTCAACAATATTACAACATATTTACCTTATACATAAATAGCGAATACTATTTCCAGACCTTCATATGTAAAGTGACCTTCTAATACAATTTAATTAAGTAGTTTGTAAGTTATAACGTGCCTCATAACTGAAGGGAAAAATTTCAAAAGAATAACTTTCGGGCAATGATTGTTTAGAGCGGAAAATAGACCTGCCTTTTTCCCGGAAGCTGCATAATTTTAAGCTAGAATCCATTTACGGTACTTGATTATTTTACTTATTACTAGCTCAATTTTATTTACTATGAGTTGAATTTTACTTATTATGAGTTGAATTTTACTTACCGTATTACTTGATAAATTTTACTGCTTTCTTTTTAAATTTTATGTATCACTTTTTGCATTTTACTTATTGCAAGTTAAATTTTATTTATTACTTGTTAAATTTTAATTAGTACTATTTATATTTCATACAAAACCACTTATATTTTACTTTTCTCTAGCTCTAGTTTATTTCTTTGTAATTCAATTCCATTATTTATTAGTTCGATTTTACGATAACAAATCAGCACTCGCCTCTTTGAGGGAATACAATCGGTATCTGAGAATCTGAACAACACAAAGGAAACAGCAAGTTTTTCGGCTGCCAGCCCAAGTTAAATTTTTTATTTTGAGGCACGGAGTTTGGAAAAATTTGTAATAAATGATTATGTCAAGAAGAAAAAATGTTGAAGTAATGACTGCATATGTATTGTTACCTTCTAATGCAATGTAGGTAAATAGATTGGATATTGAAGTGTATAATAATAATTATAATTACACTAATATTATAAATAATAATAGTAATAGTGCTAATAATATTGAAAATTATATATTACTGATATATTATTGTTATACGATTATAATATTAACTATATATATATCCTATATACACTCTCAATAATAAAATAATGATTATAATAAATGCCAAGCCGTAGAACTCCAGTGATAAACTCTTATCCTAAATAAATTAAATGAAGTTCTTTATTATTAATAAAAATAACGATAAAATAAATGCCAAGCCAATGAACCCCAGTGATAAACTCTAATCCTAAATAAATTAAATGAAGTTCATTACTATTAATAGTAATAATGATAATAATAAATGTCAGGCCGATGAACCCCAGTGATAAACTCTAATACTAAATAAATAAAATGAAGTTTTTAATCTCTCTACGAAGCAATGAAAAGTTCCTGGGCAACAATGAGTTTCGTAATTTCGGTTCAGCAAGCCTCACTCGCCTCTAAACGCTGTAAACGCGTTGAGAAAGTTTCACGATTCACTGGAATTTATGCCTGGCAGCAATACTGCGCATGCGCAGTGAAAACACTGCTCGGCAAGAAGTCCATAACATTGCCTGATATAAGTTCCGTTGCCTGATAACATCAATATTAAAATTAGGAGGTGCAAAAGCATACTACTCTATTCTAAAATTCTAATTTATATAGGATACTAGTAGAGGACCTATTATAGGGGTTCAAATGTAGTGCAGTGCAAGTAGAGAACCCATTATAGGGGTTCACTAGTAGTGTACGAAAAGTAGAGGACCCATTATAGGGGTTCACTAATAGTGTACCAAAAGTAGAGAACACATTATAAGGGTTCACAAGTAGTGTACTACAATAAATGAACCCGTTATAGGGGTTCACAAATATTGTCCCACAAGTAGTGAACATGTTATAAGGGTTCACGAGTAGCGTAATTCCAGTAGTGAACCCGTTATCCTTCTGCTTATCTTGATTTGAGGCTATTTTCTTACGCAAAAATATTAGATCAAGAATTACTGTCGCTTAGTGTAGAAACTAAGAAGTATCTACTGATTATATTGACTGATTATATTGACTAGTATCTACTGGCTATATTGACTAGTATCAACTATATATATTGACTAGTATCTACTAACTATATTGACTAGTATCTACTGACTATATTGACTAGTATTTACTGACTATATTGACTAGTATTTACCTAATATATTGACTATTATCTACTGACAATATTTACTAGTAACTACACTAAGTTATTTTGATTTCAAACCAGTGTATTTTTTTCAAATCAAATTTTAGCTATTCAAATTGCCAAGCAATTATTCATGTCGCTTAATCGAACTACGTATCCCATGGGAACCCGGACAAGTGGCTACACTCAGAGAAATGTGGAAACTTTGTTCATATAGAAATTAATTTTTTACCCATTTTTGAGTAATCTTGACCCAGTATGACCCGGAAAGACCCAGTATGACCTATTGCTACGTGTAGAAAATGTTACTATTTGTACACAGTACAATACAACCCTTTGCTCAGTGTGGACAGGTCAGCTTTGAATACAAGTAGTCCTTTTGAACTGCCATCAAGTGACATGTCATCATCCAGTGACGTCTTTGGGGTCGATCATCTACCAGGGAACGTTATAAGGGTTGGCCTGACACACCGGCAGCAAGTCAAGAGTGGGTATGTCATCATGGAGTTGCAGGTTGTCACCGTAGATGAAGACATTTGATTCACTGCCGCCGTTAATGAGGATGCTGACGTTAGAAAGCAAATTCGTCGCATTCAATGGAATCTGCCCGTTGACCATCGGTTGGCCATTCACCTTTTGCATATCGACGTAGAAAGACGAGTTGCCAGTACAGGTTGATGCAGGACTGGGTGTTTCCCCCAAGCAAAGCTCCAGCATGATGGGCATTTGTTCTTGGAACCTCACGGTCGCCATTCGGAAACCAGTCACTTTTTCACATGCAGCTTTCGTAGCGTTGAAGCCCACGACGCTCGTGTTGAGTCGTCGGTACACCAGGTTGTCCTGTCCTAGGTGGTCCTGAGAATCTGAAGGATAAAGATCACGTTACGGAGAATTTTTGTTCTGCGAACTAAAGCATGTAGGCTTCAGAATACATTATGTTCCCACTTCGTTGAATCTCCGAGCCCCAATGCTTAATAGTTTCATGCAAATAAAATTTATACCTACGATTAGACTGATCCCTCAGCGAAAAACTTGGAGAAAGCCTCCACCAAAATGCAGGCTAAGGAAATTTATTAGAGAAGACAATAATTTGAAAAAAAGCGTTGTCTATAAGATAGATTACATACATCATCAGTTTGCTTGGCTCACGATGTATTTCCCAAAGTACTACTATATTTTTAATTTTGTCAATCCAGATAGGTTTCCGTACAACTCATTTGAGACGTACGGGCACAACGTAATTTTTCAACTGCTGGCCTGTAGTATGAGGTGAGATCAACTTTTGCGGTTTAATTAGACTTCGCACCTCAGTGGATATAGCAGAGCAAGTTACGTAATGAGTTAGACCACCGGTTAAATATAACTTTTCACGACGGTAATAGAAAAATTCAAGTACAGGTTGGGACCAGTTGACGCACTTGCTTTAGCACTGCTGATAAAATACGAGTATATATTGAGTTTTGCTCAGGGTGAGCCCGGGGGTGTTGACGATATCATATATCAGCGAAGGTTGCAGACAGAATTGCGTTTAGGATAGGGGACACCTTATCAAGTCAGATGTACTAGATGATAAGTTGCTTTCATCGTGGTGCCATATTATGCAAATTTAGTAGACAGAATCAAAGGCCGCGCTCGCGTAGCGAGTGGTTCTCCCATCAAGTGTTCCTGTATTTCACTTGCCTAGAATTTTTCTGTGTTTCTTCTTGACTATCTTGATTATTGTCATGAGTTGTGTCATTAGGAGAGTGATCAGTGTCGAGTGAATGCACGAATGTGACAATGCTGTAGCACAACTTGTTAGCAATCAATTTAAAGATGTGTTGAATTTTATCTAGAGTGAGAGGCTCGTTCTGCCGCCAGTGTCGGAGTGCCTTCTTGGTGTATTTATCTGAAGTCGAAGACTGATTCATGTAAAATGTCATTGTATTGTTCTAAATATCGTAGTGCCTGCAAATGACGAGAGCTCGTGTTGTTTGTTTAAATAAACAATGTGTGATGGAAGTTTGCTCGAGAAGCGGTCGGTAAACAAATTTGAGTGAAATCGTTTCCGCGCCAAAAGACAGGCGACCCACGCCTGAGTTTCAAAACCGACAACCGTCTAACCTTGTGTGATTGGTCGTTGGTGTCTGGCTCCTTGAGAATGGCGCGCCTGCCAAATGTTCTAGAAAGCCCGTGAATGTATGCCTGAATAGGAAACCGATTCGAGCGAATGTTTTAACCGTGGCTGCCCTAAAATTAGAATTCATGTGGAAAATGCTTTGTAATTGCTAGTTGCTAGATGATCATTTAATCATCGCAAAATGATTTAGCTTCTTCTTTAAGCTAATGCGTGTCAAGTGTGCTTTGGTTGTATGGGAATATCGTCAATTTGGGAATGAATGAGATTGTCCGAAAATCTGCCGTGTTGTAAGGTGAAATGGTCTATAGTTCCAGTCTAAATACTGTATTCCATATTCGCCGTTATCGTATTCCTATTAGTAAAAGCTATTCGTTGGAAAAGCATTGAAGAATTGAAGTCCACGTTCGTCTTTCTAGAGCCTCAAAGACCGTAAGTTAAAGAACCTGCGAATTTACCCTGTGTCATGTTAATTACCGTGGTCAGCCATTTTGGAAACTAGGCCAGTAGCTTAGCAGTAGTTAATTACCATTAGCCGTCGGCCTGTATGCAAAAGGTGCCAGTAGCCTAGTACTCTAGCTGTAGCCTGCCTCTGTCACATCCTCAAAAGGTCACCTTGTTATTGCTAATATTGAATAATTAAATCTGTCGGAATCATTTGTGGTCGGCTAGATGTAACCTCTCGACCATTCATTATTGCCCGTTCCATTCTATGTGCCTTATAATGATGCTATAAGCTATGAAATCAGTTAGGGTCATGAGGCAGACTGATGAGATCAATTAGATTTGGTAGAGTACGATTGACCTCGTGTCTTGAATGTTGCACTCGCTTGAAATTAGGCAGCTCCCTTCTGGAACAGTGTTCATAAATCTAATTGTCATTCTATGATCTCGGTTTCTTGCATGTTCACACTCTTATCGAAACCTGTACGTGCAGGTTTCGACACCGAAATATAAGGAAACAAGGATCAAGTCTCGCGCTTCATTCTTCCTTTTAAATTTAGTGTCACCAAGCTCCCGAACTAAGTCAACTTACTTTAGGAGCGGAACATAGGGCGGCGCCAGGTGGTGTAGACAATGCTTTATCTCGGCAGATGTAGTAGACAGATTCGCGTTCAGTTTGGGCCAGATGGTGTAGATGATGCCTTACCTCTGTCAGGACGTTACCATCAGTGACGTTATTTAACTTTTGTTACGTCATCTTATGACGTCATCCAGTGGACCTATATAAGCTCCTCAAGCGCACCACCGCGTCAGTTGTAGTAGAGAGACCTCCCTCGCATCCACGCTCGTTCCTACTCACCGACCCTCGAGAGACTCACTCCCGAGCGTATCGTATATCTTATCCTCATCGATGCTGTAACACTTTGTGCCTACTGTATAATTATATCTAATAAGTAGATTATACTTCGAACCATTCATTTAAAAACCTGCTATAGCGTTAGACAATAAGAACTGGGGTCCTCAGATAGAATTATATATAAATAATAATTGATCAGTTCACCAAATAACTATATTAGTTCGGCATCCAGAAAATTGGCGAACGGACACCTCAGCGGATATACGTAGTAGACAGAGTCACGTTCAGGGCGGGGCCGGGTGATGTAGATGATGCCTTACCTCGGCGGGTGTAGACAGAGTTGTGTTCAGGGTGGGGCCAGGTGGCCATACACCTTTTGCATATCGACGTAGCAATACGTAGCCAGGACCTAATCAGAATGACCCAATGACCTGAGTAAAATTGTGAAAAAACCTAACCTGGCTGGACCTAACCTTAGTAGAAAGGTGTCACGTAATATAAAGAAGGGTTTTATACACACCTAACCCTAACTCTAACCCTAACCTAACGAGGTTGGCGTTTTTTAGAATGTCCAGTAGTGTAGTTCTTTATTTTCGTGTCCAGTTTTTAAGTACAAACTAATTGTAAGGTACATAACCGGACTCGATTTTGTCCGGATTTCTAACCCATGTCCGGTAGTGTTACCAATCCTGTCCGGCTATTGTTCGAAACTCGTTTATACGTATAATTCGAAACGTCGCTATCTATTAAAATGTCATTCGGAAACCTGCTTTTCGATCTCCCGGCTCCAGCTAGAAATTTGGTTCGACTCATTGAAAAGACGAACAAGAAGATTGTAAATAAAAAGCATGCTCTGGTCTTCAATCAAACTTGCATATATATATATATATATATAGCCTTACCTCGGCGGAGGTAGTAGACAGAGTCGCGTTCAGGGCGGAACCAGGAGGTGCTGTAGATGCTGACGTCAGTTACCGAGCACTCGAATCGATCGTAGCCAAGGGAACGAACACTGAAGGCCTGACAGCCTGAGGCCAGGCACAAATGTCGACATTCGCCTGGGTCAGGAGAATAATGTACATGATATGAATATGAGGAATGTTATTCGGAATCGTCAACTCTTTAGGCGGTATGAACCAATCAACAATATAATTATCTATCTCGAGAATGCATTCTGATTTTTTAGTAGGATACAAATTCTAAATATAAATGGAGCACATTAAAATTTCATCAGTATTCTATAAAATACTGGATAGGATTGATATGAAAGGGATATGCCACACAGTATCTGCGATATAATTTTGATTTATTCCTAGCTTATTAAAGTTTGATTTATGAACTTTTGAGCATCTGTTTTATTTTGATCTATATATAAGGTAGATGCGTTTGACTTAAAAATTTTTATGAAATAATTTTAAGTTTAATATTGTGCTCGGCAAATAATCCAAGCAACGAAAAGAAAATTTGTACGAATTTTTAACGCGTATCTCCAAGAAACTTTTTAGTGAAAGGAAAATTATCTGTAAACGAGTAATAAACGTAAATAAAATATATAAATGCAAATATTCATAGATTTACGAACAGATATTGAAATAAAATCTCAATATGATTCATATGTAAAATATCGCAATAAGAATACCAACGATTTTTGTATACAAGTTTAAATGCAGATGAAAAACAATATTATACATGAATTATCATGCTATATTTTCCCATTAATTAGATTTTCATAATTTTATAGCATAATTCCACGTTAAACGACCACTGATGCACACTAACCACCAAAATTGTTATCAAATATTAATATTTGCTTATAAATTAGTAAATATAAATTTAATTCATAAAACGCAAAACTTTTTTTTCGTGTTTTGAAATTTGAGTCTTTTATAGTTTTGGTGTTCAAAGAAAATATGGTTGCGATCGGGGCTTTCTTTAATGAAAATAAATTTCCATTATACATATTAATTGGATTTAGGGTGACATAATTCGTTATAAAGGGATCTGGGATGGTGGATACTAGGTGACGGCATCCTGGATGACTGGTTTCGGCATAACTGGATTTCAAAATTGCAGGGATTATCGATCTCGAGCAACGACTAACATGACGGTATTAATCTGATATAATTCCCACCCTTTTTCTTAACACTCACTAGTGTGTAGCACCTCCACTACGTCGAATGCAAGGTTCGGGTCCACCATCCAGAAACGGACGACCAGAAAGTCGTTGTAATTTACGACGCGCGCCGTAGAAACTGTCGGGATGTAGACAGTGGCGTCGTGGCAGCCGATCAGGCACAGCACAAGCAGCCAAAGGGGCAGGACTCGCGGAGCAGCCATACTTGTTATTTTCTTTCACTTAGCAATCTTCTGCCCAGTCGTTGTATAATTTTCGAATGGTATTTTCATCAGTCGTTTGATGATATTCAGACCAATCAACTTATAACCTGAAATCCAGTCATTTTATAATCTTCATTTATTGCGCGCGATTATCTAAACTCCAGTCATTACAATATCTTCAGCCCAATCTTTTATTGGTTAATAATGCAGAGTTTTTTAGATTATGAATTCATAATATAGGTAGTTAATTTTTGTGAATATATCATTCTAGTGAACAGCATGAGTTGCTTCATTAACTGGAAAACTCACTTCCTCCTACCTTCATGCCGTCTGTGAACAGAATGAAATACTTTATTCACTGAACTCTTCGCTTCCAGCAGAAAAGGTATGGCTGCACTTTTCTGAATTAAAATCCAAACCAACTGCTAGAAGGTCTATCGCGTGACTGTCGCAGCTTGACCCTAGCACAGGATGAGTGCCTCCATTTGCCGGTGAGTAAAACTTGAGTACGTTGAGTGCTTAGGCAGAGAAATCTCAATGTTATGAAGGTAAACGACCAGGAACATGAAGCCGTTGAGGTCTCGGTTAATGGACGCTGGAAAACGAAGATGTTAGATGACTTGAAGAAGATGTTAGAAGACTTGATGTTATTTCGATTTCTTTTGTAACGTAGCAATAATGGATAGTCACATTTTGGTTGAATCTTTCACTACGTTGAGTTTTACTGTATCCAGAATATGACAAAGACTTTTATGACTCTAAGTCATGACATGCTAAGTACTTGTTCCATTTTAGGTAAAATTTTCTGTTTGATTGAGCGGTAAGTCGCTGAAGGTATAAGCGAATGGATGAGAATTATTCAGGCATATATCTGAGTATCCGAAGGTTTTTTAAGAACCGACCAGCGTTCTGTCTTCTTGTACCGTAGAACTCTTTTCGATATAAATCATAAAATGTTAATATTTTAAAATAAGTTCTAAATTTTATTCTATTTTCGGAGGAATTGATTAAATTGATTAATAATTGAGTTGGCAAACTAACTCAGCTGCAGCACCTATCAATAAATTTATCACTACAGCCAAACTGTATGCTTAGTGATTTTGTTAATGGGAAACGACGCAAATTTCTCAAATGAAAATTGCTTCGACATTAAAATTTGATTTGACTCTTCATTTAAGGACTAATATAAGATTTATTGTATTTTATAAATGTAGTTTTATATATATAAAATAAAATAATATGTATTTAAAATAAATACGTAAATATGTGTATTTTATTTATATAAAAGAACTAAGCCAAGAAATTATATTTTTCCAAGCATTGAAATAACAGTCGAATTTCGAAGCATCTCAAATAAATGTATCAGACTTTGTCCAAGTAACAATGAACTGGGTCATTCTGAACCATTTTAACCCAACTAAAAGGTGACTCGCAGCTACGTCCGCTGTCTGCTCGTACTGTGAGTAAGAAAGCTTCACTATATGGTAAATGCGACCCATACATTTATTTGGGTGTCCTTCCTGTAAGCTCTACGCATAGCAAGTGATCAATTCCGCGACCGCGAGTCGCATTTCTTGGAAATTTATTAATTAAATTATATTTTTAACTTGAAAATTAAAATTATATATAGAATGGGAAAGTAAATTATTTCATGCACGTCATATTTTATATCGGACTTTGGTTCACTGAAAAAGTTACTTTAAATTTGAATCACACACAGATTTTCAAATCACCATATAAAAATCAGGGTTTTACTTTTGAAAATGCAATGAGCAAGATTTACTTTACTATTCCTATATTCAACGCGTTTCATCATTCATCAATTTTTATCCGTAGAAGAAAATAACTTTGATCGAGTTTATTGCGTTGACGGTTGACAACCAATTGCCAGGCCTTCTGCGTTCGTTCTTTTGGCTATGAAATGGTAAGGAAGACAGCCATGCCTTTTGTCAACGCCATTGGGCACAGGACAGTCATGCCTTTTGTCAACACCATTGCGCGCAGGACAGCCATGCCTTTTGTCAACGCCATTGCACGAAGGACAGCCATGCCTTTTGTCAACGCCATTGCGCGCAGGACAGCCATGATGTTTGAAACACCCTCCTGATACCTTTAAAGTTTTGTGGATGTCATTCTAGAATCTGTTCATGAACTTTGAGGCTAGAATAGTAAGGTCCCACAATGGCACCTTTTCTAATTTAAAATCGCTCCAACTTCATAAATTTTAATGTTATATTATACCACATATTCAACATCAAAATCATGTTTCCTCTTTAACATGTACCACTTGATTATAGTACAATTCCAACGTCAAAGTAATTTTTACTTATCACATGCAATAATAGATTATAGCTACCACAATAACCACACCAAAATAATTTCAACATTGCAACTCACAACACCAGATTATACCCCCTCTACTCCATCAAACTCTACACCACCAACCGCGGGGCCTAAAGCGTGACTATCGCCTCCTCAATTCTACCGTGTACAAAATGCTACAATCTTTTAGCCGCTTTTTCGTTAAAAGTTTTCGCTGGGGCCGTCTAAGTAAGGATAAAATACAAGCAATTCCTAGAATCGCTCCAAACATCGAGATCTGAGAATATTTATTGAAGGTATTTAGTTCATAACATAACATAACATAGTGATGTCGGCTCTGAAGTGTAGGCCTGATGTGGCCTGTCGCCGATTCTTTACCATTTCGTGCCTTGTTCATAGATCTAAACTCGTATCATTTGACCGGATCTTTTCATGACTGGCGATAGTTTGAAGAAGCTACTAGTCTTCCACCGGGTTCGATAAGGAGCTAGGCATTTCAAATCTGAAATACTTCAATGAGGTCCCCACGCAGACGTCGATAACTGAGGCTTGGAAGCTTCATAATCTTCAATCTTTCTTCATAGGACTTGCCCTTCAAGCCTGGAATTATCCTTGTTGCACGTCTTTGAACATTCTCTATTAAATTTCTGTCCTTTTCGAATCTCGTTTTCAGTATTCGATATTTCTGATTTTTCTGTAGATTTTTTATGCATTGACTGTATTGGACTCATTAATAATCAACACGACATTTCTGATTATAAAAACTTCAAATTCGGGTTTCCTTTTATTTCATACATTTCTATTACCGATTTATGGCTAGAGTTAGATGTTAGAAATTTATTAAAACTAATTATCAAAATTTTTATTTTTCTGGAAATATATTTTTTCCTGATATTATAAAATTACGATTACCCAACGTAATTAAACTAACTAATATTCATCAGGAAAATTACATTAAATGAACTCACGTTCAGCAATTCTATTATTTTTGCCTCTTGCTGTTTCTCTTTGAAGCAAAAACCTGGTTTACAAATATCCCGGCCGTTCTTACCATTTTAAAATATATTTATTCGCGGAAATTTTTCATCCCTATTCCTTTTTTTGTATTTAATTTATAACTGTTAAGCGTTATGTAACGATCAAACCTTGAAGAAATTAATTAATCAAAAGAAATTGTATTATTGATTTTGACGATTTCGATACTGATGGAGAAAATTTTCGAACTCGTACATAAATTGTTTATAACAAAAAATTAGTATTCTTTGTTATAGACATAGACATTAAATATGTACATAGACATTAAATGAGCACCAACACATAGATTATAAAACGCAGGCATTCCATCGAGTTTATAAATCGCATTGATTCTTCCGCATATTCGAAACATAGCAAAATAGCAAAATTGGTAAAAATAATATATTACTTTGTGGCTTCATGTTTGATTGTCAATTTTTCATGGCGTCATTATGGGACAATAAATGTTTTCAAATACAGAATCTTTTAAGCATTAACTTCGCGTACGTATTCTATCCCAGTATATATGCATTCAAATCTCGTTCAGGTGCGCTGCGGAAAAATGCCTCTCAATCTAGTTAGCTAGTTAAATAACTAGTTAATACTAGTTATTTGCCTTGCAATCCCGAACGATTTTACCTTGCCATTACGAGCTATTTAACCTTGCTATTACAAGCTATTTTACCTTGCCATTACGAGCTATTTACCTTGCCATTACGAGCTATTTTACTTTGCCATTACGAGCTATTTTACCTTGCTATTACGAGCTTTTTTACCTTGCTATACCGAGCCATTTTACCTGGCCATCACGAGCTATTTACCTTGCTATACCGAGCCATTTTACCTTGCCATTACGAGCTATTTTACATTGCCATGACAAACTATTTTACCTTGCCATTACGAGCTACTTTACCTTTCCATTACGAGCTTCTCTACTTACACGACTATTAACACAAACTTGTTATACAATCAACGAAATTGCAGGCTCTAAATGGCAGCCACTGAAAGCTTTTCTAGCTAAAACCACTCAGCAGCTTGAAAGTTTTCCTGGATAATAATGCACTTCGTAGCCTCGGTGCGTGTTTCGGACGTAGCAGTCCCAGGTCACGCTGGAACGCCATGATAATAATGAGACGAAATGAAGCTTTGCGGGCTCGCATTGGAATTGTTTGGTCTGGGATAAATGTCAGCAGGGGTACATTTGTAATCGAACATGTGTCAGCAGGTGCACATTTGTAATCGAACTTGTGTCAGCAAGTGTACATTTGTAATCGAACATGTGTCAGAAGTTGCACATTTGTACAGGAATAAGCGTCAGCAGGTGTACATTTGTAGGTAGACGACAACGCGTCAGTATTAACGGAACCGTGTGAGAGTGGGCATCAGTGCGCAGTTTCGTGCCGCAAGGACGCCTTCTTGGGCCTGTTTTATTTGTTGCTTTTATAAACGATTTGCCAGATGTAGTGCCCAGCGCGTGCTCTATGTATGTCAACGACACAAAAGTTTATAATACGATGAAGGATGCGTCAAATAAAGTGCAATTACAAGATGATCTTGACAGTTTAGTTAACTGGTATGATACGTGGCAGCTGCGGTTTGCTGCAGAAAAGTGTTTAGTGCTTCACCTCGGAAAGAACAATGAACAGCAAGATTGCAGCATGAGGAGACATGGTGGCAACGAGAGAGTAGTGATTGAAAAAACTAGCGTGAGGAAAGATTCGGGAGTTTATGTCGACAAGAAGCTAAAATTCTCTGTCACGCCTATCTTGGGTCACCAGGATCTGGAGTCAGTATAGACGCCTAACGGTAGCGTTAAGTCGTAAGGTGCAAGGAAAGCTTGATACTTCAAAGAATATTTAATTCTTAAGACCACCGTAAATCCTGCACATTCAGAATTTAATTAGAAATAGTCTAAATAGAAATGAAATCAAATATTAAATTTATTATTCTATAAAGCTCAAAGGACATGATTCACTATTCTGCTTCAAACGAGAATCAATTGTAAATGAAATTGAAGATTTCACCACCACTCAAATCTAAGAAAAGTGAGCATTCCATAGCTTGGTTTAAAAATTCTCGTCGCTTGAAATCTAGACATGAAGACCTGTAAGACAAATCTTGATAACAATAAACGTGAGCTGAAATATTCTCAATGCTCTTATCAGCAGAATAAGGAGAAATCTAAGGCACAAAAAGTGGTAAACACCGTGATAACTAGCAGCTTAGGCTAATTCGAATCATGTGCTCTAAAAGCGAATTAGTTTTCTTAATAAAGGCTACTAAATAGTAATCTCAGGTGCTATATCTGGCCTGCGGTCGCGTCGCTACAATTAGACATGAAATTACACCCTGGCTAGACATTGATTACTCACGTTGCTCTGATGGCTCCGAAAATTGCGCTTAACTACTGAAAAATATTTTGTTGTTTGGTCGATACCCGCGCAAACACAGAAGGTTGCCAAACATTATAAATAAAAAATAGTAAGACAAGCAATTTGAAAAATTCTAATATCTCTCAATTCTACTGAATAATCATTTCCTTGGAATTCAAAACATACTAGACAGTCAGACTGGATCTATCTGACTAATATTGATTGATTTATAATGTGCTACACAACGACGGCAACAAACAACTGCTTCATCGTTTCTGCATCTAGGAACTCGTATGAGCGTCTGATTAGTCCAAGAAGTTTGTTGGATGTGTTAGCTTGCGTTTCAACATGCTTAGAAAATTTCAGCTCCTTGTCAACATAAACTCCGAGATCTTTTTCCACACTAGACTTTACAATCATTACTCTCTAGTTGAAACCATGTCTTCTCATGCTGTAATCTTGCTGTTCATTGTTCTTCCCGAGGTGAAGTACTTTACACTTGTCAGCATTAAACCGTAGCTGCCACGTATCAGCTCAGTTAACTAAACTGTCAAGATCATCTTGTAATTGCGCTTTATTTGACGCATCCTTCACTGAATTATAAACTTTTGTGTCGTCGGCATACATGGAGCACACGCTTGACACTACTTCTGGCAGATCATTTATAAAAGCAACAAACAAAATAGGCCCCAGAACGCTTCCTTGTGGCACGCCACTGCGCACTGATGCCCAGTCTGACACGGTTCCGTTAATACTGACACGTTGTCGTCTACCTACTAGAAAATCTCTGATCCATTGGAGTACGTTTCCCTCAATTCCCAAGGCTGTCTTGTATTTATTTTATGAACGCGACATTCTCTAGGCATATTGAAACGCAAGCCAATAAATCCAATTAACTTCTTGGAGTGATCAGACGCTCGTTCGAGTTCTTAGATGCCGGAAGGATGAAGTTGTTTGTCGGTGTCGTGCGCCCGAACCTAGAGTTCGGTAACTCCGTGTGGTCACCAAAACTTGAAAACGACAAAAGTTCAGTAAAGAGTCTTCAAAGACGTTCAACAAGGATGATTTCAGGCTTGAAGGGCAGGTCTTATGAAGAAAGATTAACATTATGAAGCCGCCAAGCATCTGTTATCAACGTCTGCGTGAAGAGACCTTATTGAAGTAAATAAGTATATTCATGGTTTATGCATGGTCCCAGAAGGCTTCGAGTCACCGACATGTGGAACAGCCTCCCCGATTATATCGCTGGCGCTCCAAGTATGAACGCGTTCAAGAACAGACTAGACAAAGCTATGGAGAAATATATGTTCAGACCTGAAGTGCCTAGCCTCACATAGAACCTGGTGGAAGTCTATTAGCTGTTTCAAACTATCGTCAGTTTCGAAAAGATCCGGTCAGAGGACCTGTTTTAGATCTTCTGTGAACAAGTCATGAAAAGTACAAGAATCGACGACAGTCTACATCAGGCCTATTCTTCAGCGCAGACATCTCTATGTTATGTTATGATAAAAAATCAGGCCGAATTATGATTGGGCTAAATTCACGTTAGAATTAATGTTCCAAAACTACCTGATATTACTGTAAGTAATTAAACATAAACATAAATAAATTTTCATGAATGAAAGACGGGCAAAACTATAATATATATATATATATGAGAGTTTATCTGTATGTTTGTTATTTAAAACTATGGCTAGATGAAAAAATAAAAACACCTTTAAATAGTAAATATTTTGAGATATAACATGATTTCCGAACTTATTTGTTGTATGAGTAATTGGGAGCTTTATTGAAAATAAAGGGGATTATTGGATCACGATTTCTAATATGATTTGCAAATTGGTAGGCATATTATTAGTGAAAGGATTTGCATTATTGGATTTGGGATGATTTTGCTGGCAATGGCATGATCCGTTGCATATGGAATATCGAATCATATAGACGAGATATGTTGAGAGCAATTAGACCATGCAGCGTCGAGGTAAGTGAGCCTTGAACAATGTTCCACATTTTTACTAATAGAAACTGTAACCAGCAGTCTTCTTGGAAATCAAGCATTTATACGTAGCAGCGAACAGCCAATTCAGAACTTTTGCCAAGAGAAAATATGTAGGTAGAGCAACAACGTATCGTATCTTGCTAAACATATTTTGCTGATATTCATGAAGCAAGCCGGTCAAGAAATATTGACCGATCAGAGCTCTGAGTCACTTATGCAAATATGACTCCTGTACAAGAGAGCTTCGACGACGTACCGCGAGTGACACATTATTTTGCGGCAGACTGGCAGTCGATATGCTAATGATGTAACATGCATGCTTCAATAAATTTTAATGCAAATTACAGTTTTTTTATCATACGGAAGAGCCGTTTAACGCGTGTAAAATTCATTTAATTGTTCTTTACCTGGTCGTCCTTTGTTGATAATCCCTGTGTATCACTGTCACTTTATGAAGAATTCACGATTTGAGTCACTGATTAAATAAATTGATATTTCTGTAACCATGTATTTGGCTTTATGGTTTTTCCGCTCGAGCGGACAAATGCTTTCTTTGTTTACAAGGTAATCAGGCTCGAATGTGAGCCGTTCTGCAGAAGCTCTCAGGCCCAACGGTCATCCTTGCGGTTGTCCTGTGGCTTTAAGTCCACCTAGCGTGGACACCCGGAGAAGAAGAAGAATGTGAGCCGCGAGGGACATGGAGCCTGGAGGACATTTAGGACAACCCCTCATCCTCATTAAACAAATAAATAACAACAATCAGGCTCGAAAGGTGGGAGGCTGGGAGCGGACAGCGAAGGATACGACGGTGGCGAACGGTCGTGTGAACGGTGAGCTCCAACTTCGCGGGAATTGGCGGCTACTTTTCCAATGGGATTTGACTTACAAATTGTTACAATCATTGAATCTATTAATTTTGCCATGGGTCGCCTGGCCTCTTTGCCGATTCTGGCCAGAAATTGGTGCATAGAGCTGGAAATTCTGGAATCAATACCACACCTCTCTGCTCCAATCCTGGTACTCTGAATTTTAACCACTGGGGCCCTGGGCCAACCTGCGGCCTGCCCAGTGAAGATCCTCTTTTATAGTCTATTCCAAGATGGTTTGATAAAAAATTGATGTTGTTATATGTCTGGCATGATGTCTCCTGCATGTCTTGTGTGAAAAATATGTATATACTCCCCAGTCCCCACCACCACTCCCCAGTCCCCATTCCCCATGACTAAGCCTGGGGGCCATGAGGATGAGTCCATGATGATGACATGTCTTGATATGTAGACAGTAGAGTGGTGAAATGTGAATTTATAAATTTTGAGGCACGAGTCCACTTTTTGAGCTGTGATACCAATTTTCTATACCATCAGGAGCCATTTTTGAGCTCCAAACTCATTTTTCAAGCCACACACGTAGGATTAGAATTTTCCTACTTGTTTCTAAAATCTTGTGGGCCGCGGCTTCAAATTCAATGTGACAAATTTTTCATACATTTGGAATCTTGCGGCCCGATCGTGCATTTTTGTTAATATATGAGGTTGTTATTCATCTAGCAGAAACCAGAAATCTTGCAGTTCCGGAAAAGGTGGGAAAGCTCTAGTTGCGGCCCTAAGTTTAGAAGTTTTCCATGCTTGCACACACTGACACACATATTATGTCAAATCCAAATTTACTAAAAAATCGAAAGGAAAAAATTTCTCTTTACTTTTGAGGTAATTGAGCGTGAAAAATAAGTATTATTTACATTTGGGTCAAGATACAACACAGTTCAAATGTAAATGTAGTCTGACTGGACTTATATGCCCACATCAATGATCAAATTATCAATGAAATGTTTGACTTTTGATGGCAGGCACTGTGCTGGTCCGCTGGATATTTTTACAGGAGCATGGTACTGAACCACAGAAGTTCCACATTTCATGGAGCATCACAATTGCAAGCCATGTTATATTGGATCACCATCAAACCAAGTATATATAAATATACATAACTTTATAGCCAAAAGATTTTGTACCTATCAAAATGATAATATAGGAGCTGACATATTTTGGAAAATAGTATTATTTCTAGTGACAGATGAGAAATCTGGGATTGATCAGCTGAATTTGATGAAAAACTTACCACAGGGGCCTGAACTGTGCCATGAAATAATTCCCTCTAGGCATTCATCCTCCTGACTTAGCTGGCCATGAATAAAAATAATGAATTGCTCAATTTCTCTGCCTAGCTGCTAACAACCTGTATGCAACTTTAAAGCCTAATATTGCAAATGTTTTGCACTATTTTACCTCATCATGTTATATCAATGATGAAAATCAATTTGGTCCAAAAATTATTGAAAACTCTCACTTGTCAGGGATTCTCAAGTTGTTACTAAAGCTCTCCTGCCATTTTTGGAGCCACAAATTAGGCACTGAACAAATTATGTACCTACTACATAGTTGTTAAAATCATGGTACAACTGCAGTTTGTACATAAAAAATTATTATTATAATAATAATAATAAAAAATATTAAAAATTATTATAACCAATGAATACATATTACATATTACCACTATGGCCCAATTTTCTGAACTTATAAATAACTTTGGTTTGGCACCAGCATTCAATTTTATTGCAAAAGAGTTCCACCTAAGTTTTACTTGAATATTTGATATGTTTTCCTAATCATGAATTTTCTTGCATATATGTGAGTGCATCAATAATCAAGTTATAGAAAGTTATGACTCATCTTCTAATTGACAATAATAAATAATTTAATAAACAGATCCCTAAGTAATTTCCAATTCCCAATTCCTGCAAATGTACTCCAAGAATAAATCCTCACTTAAAGCATGCAGCAAGTTTGTTCTACCTGGCAGTGCACCAGGTTAAACCTTAATGAACACGGATCAATCATTCTTTGTCATATTGATCATGAATTACTATCTTTGAAGGAGCGTAATGGCATCAGCCAAAATCCTCCCTCTTCAACATCTTAGGAGCAATGAATATGGCTTCTTCAACCAATATTGTTGAAGACCTCTGACCTTCACAGTTGGCTATAACAACACATAAGTTAACATGTTGACTACGTATTGGTACATATGCATACCACGAAATGTATTTCTCCAGGAGGTAGTGGTACATAATTCAGGTTGCCTAAAATCCAGCCAAATCCGAGAATAAAGAAGGCCAAAAAGGCCGATAATTCAATGTATACTAGTTTATTTGTAGGTTCCGCTATAAAAATTCCATTTATTTGCCTTTTTGCAGTATTTAAACATTAATTAGAAAGTACCCCTATCATAAATTTTAGCCGGCCAACGCAATTGAGAAAAACTAAATCACGGAATTTGTCCAGAAAAAATGACCGTCTGGCAACCCTGCTTAAAAAAAGTACAAAAAATTAAATAAAAGTACAAGATGAAGCAATCGTAGTCAACGTGTTAATGCATATTTTTACCAGCCCTTCAAAGCTGCAGCCAAGGCCATGGCCTGAAGAGATGATACCTGAACATTGATTCATGATCCACTCAACAAATATATATACATATACCTAACAAGGCCCCACCTCCTCACCACAATCAGCTTGTAAGCTTTGTACATGGATTAAGAAAAGCACATCAATGATTGAGCAGTAAAGACAATACCAGATCTTAATAAGATGTAAATGTTGAGATCTTAACTAGGCTTCCAGTCTTAACATTTATGAAGATTTACTGAATAATAATAAGTTTCTAAGGCAATGTTTGCAATGAATATTAATTGGCATAATTTCCGCATCTGAGACCATGGTTCATTATTGGCTAAACTGTAAATAAACTTGTTATTCTGACAACTATGAGCCCAATACTATTTACATAAAATATTTTAAAGCATATGAACTTATATTATGCTTTCCAGAAGTATTCTACAGGACTCCAGCACAGATGGAGGAGGCGTCACCCACCTTGCATGCATCCTGTGATGTTGATGATTTTGGTTCGAATCAGAAGTTATGTAATTTAAATGCAGACTGCAGGCAGATGCCGCCTTCACAGCCAAGTTGTGTTACTGGTAATTACTTCTTGGTAATATTTGGATTCATTTACTTATCTATAATTCAAACTTGAAAAAATTACAAATGTCAATGAAACTTATGATACAATTTTTGTTTTTTTTAATATTTCCTACTTTATCCATATAGATTTTGGTTTAGTTTGATGTTCTTTATTCTTACAGCAAGAACAACAATAATTTATAGTATCTCTTTACTCTGGCAGTTCATTCAAAAATTGAAGTGAAAAAAATTTAAATTTAATTATTGTTTATACCCTACGAAACATGTACAATTTGCCCTTCAAATTTTTTGCTTTAGCTCAAATCTCGCACCACAAAATTGCTACTCATTTATAGTTTTTTCTTTTGCTGTTGTGCATAAAAATTAGTTCAATTAAATTATTAAAAAAGTTAGCCAGAATTCTTGAAATACTCATTAACTATTTGTATCAATACATAAAATATTGCTGCACAACTCATGTCTGAGTATTTTGCTTGTCTCTTGCTTTATATTTATATAAAATAAGCCTTTAGATTTGTAGGAAAGCTTTTATTTATAGAAAATAAGCTTTTATTCATGTAAGAAAGCTTACATTTGTAGAAAATTAGCTTTCAGATTTGTAGGAAGGCTTATATTTGTAGAAAATTAGCTTTTATATATGAAGAAAATCTTATATTTGTAGAAAATTAGATTTTATATATGTAGGAAAGCTTGTATTTGTAGAAAATTAGCCTTTATATATGTAGGAAAACTTATATTTGTAGAAAATAAGCATATATATATATATATATATATAGGAAAGATATACCTATTTGTAGAAAAAAAGCTTTTAGATTTGTAGGAAAGCTTATTGCGGTATATTTGTATAAAATAAGCTTTGAGATTTGTAGGAAAGCTTATATCTGTATAAAATTAGGTTTCAGATTGTTGCTTTTGCAACACTTGATAAATAAAAGTAATACCGTACTTAAGTTGTGGCACTTGCAGGAGCTGTGAAGATTGAGCCTCGTGATGAGCAGCAATCAAACTGTGACTCAGGGCTCCCAGCTGGCTTCCTTGAAGTGGAGAAAGAGGAACCTTTCTTCATGGAAGATGTGGTTAGTTATTTCCATAATTTAATTTTCAATAGATTACTATTCAATTCTCTACATTAAGCTTCCTAAATATGTTAACCACGTCGTCGTGACATGCTAATATCTTATTTAACATAACATAACATAGTGATGTCGGCGCTGAAGCGTAGGCCTGATGTGGCCTGTCGCCAATTCTTTTCCTTTTCGTGCCTTGTTCTTAGATCTAAACTCGTGTCATTTGACCGGATCTTTTCATGACTGGCGATAGTTTGAAGTAGCTACTAGACTTCCACCGGGTTCGATAAGGAGCTAGGCATTTCAAATCTGAACATATATTTTTCCATAGCTTTATCTAGTCTGTTCTTGAACGCGTTCATACTTGGAGCGCCAATGATGTCATCGGGGAGGCTATTCCACATGTCGGTGATTCGAAGCGAGAAGAAATTTTGTCGCGTGGAGAAGTTGCAGCGCAATTTTTTTAGCTTATAGCCGTGGCCCCTGGTGTTGGTTCTTGTTTCAAATTCTAGTAACCCTTCAGGGACCTTGTCTAGACCATGAGTATACTTGTATACTTCAATGAGGTTCCCACGCAGACGTCGATAACTGAGGCTTGGAAGCTTCAGAATCTTCAATCTTTCTTCATAGGACTTGCCCTTCAAGCCTGGAATTTAATCAAAACCTGTAGCATATTAGGCAGTAAATAAACCTATGTAAACTTTAAGTCAAGTCGTCAAAAAGAAAAGTCAGTAGATTTATTCTCATTTATAATTCTCTAGTCTGAGATGAAATATTCCTCCACTAACGATGAAGAATTTTTCATTATTATGCATGGTGTGTAAATATTCAATGATGTGGATATTTAATGAAATGAACAGTTAGTCTAATGTACCATACAAATTTTGCTTGTGTATTTGGATGCCATAGCTTGCGGTATGGTATCCATCATGGTATGGCTTAATAATATATGTCATATTATTAAGCAATTATGCACATTAAGTCTAATGTACTTTTTTTTTGTTTTTTAGCTTGTGTCTTTAAATATGTTTAAATTAAGTTATTTAGATCCATCTTGAGATTCAGATACATTAGATTTCATTTTTTAATGGTCTAAAGAGTTCAGTTTCTGAAAAATTGTGAATTAATTTCAAATCAATCTTTGAGTTCTTGTGAAACTGTATATAGGGTATTTTTACAATTGAACAACTTTAGCATTGAATTCTACAATTAAACTCTATAATTAAATTCTACTGTTTAACAACTTCCGTATTTTTGATAACATTTTGTTCAACTTGACTCTACTTGATGTTCATGAACATTACAGTTAAATTCATATAAATAATTAATAACAATATACATGTACAATATATCAATATGAATATAATAGCACTAGATGGCAGAATTTTCATGTTTATACATGTATGATTAATGACCAGAGAAATGCATTTGATTGAAATTTTCAAGGAGTTGAACAATTATTTGGACAATGCTGGTAGATAAAGAGACAGGTTTAAAGAAGTAATTTTAATATATGATGATGTTTGAATGTAACCATATCCATTTCAAGTTATATGAAGCATTGAATGATTATATTTTTGTAAGCATACCTACTTTATACTCGTAAATAGGATATGTCTGAATTTATATATATGATAACAAATATAACATTTGAGCAGGGCGATTGCATGGTTGCCGATGCAGAATCTTTCGAATTTTGTGTCAAGGTAGAGCCTGTCGAGGCTGGGGCATCTCCATCCATCCCCCAGGCTCCTCCTGCAAACCAAGAACTCCCAACAAGGGCAGGAATCTTTACCGCTTGTCTCTTATACACATCTAGATGTGTATAAGAGACAGGTCTAGCACGCCTTCTTCTGTCTCGCAACGTTGGCCATGCCAGGTCACGGAGCTCGTTGTACACACTGGAAGCCCGGAGCAAATAATACGAGACTCACCGCGCTGCTCTATGCTGTACTTTTTCAAGAGTGGCAATATCGTCTGCTACACGAGGATCCCACACACAACTTACGTACTTCAGTATGGGTCGGACTAACTTTTGTATGACAATAAATTAAACATTTGAGCAGGGCGCATCCACGGTTGCCGATGCAGAATCTTTCGAATTTTGTGTCAAGGCAGAGCCTGTCGAGGCTGGGGCATCTTCATCCATCCCCCAGGCTCGTCCTGCAAACCAAGAACTCCCAACAAGGGCAGGAATCTTTACCGCTGTTCAAAAAGCCTCTGAGACTGCCTGCTTAGCCTCAACATCAGCAGACGTCTTCACGCAATGTCAAGCAGCCCTCCAGACTGCCTGCTTAGCCTCAACATCAGCACACGTCTTCACGCCATGTCAAGCAGCCCCCCAGACTGCCTGCTTAGCCTCAACATCAGCAGACGTCTTCACGCCATGTCAAGCAGCCCCCCAGACTGCCTGCTTAGCCTCAACATCAGCAGACGTCTTCACGCATGTCAAGCAGCCCCCCAGACTGCCTGCTTAGCCTTTACTTCTCTGGAGGCGCACAATTGTGGTGCTTCAATGATTTCTTCTACTTCTGAAACTTCCACTTCCAAAGGTATGAGTCTAACAAGTGAAACGAAGAATGTATTCACTGAAAGAGAAGCTGGTGGAGCTCGCTCACATAATAATGGCTGCCCTTCTCCTACATCTGCAGCTTCAGTAAATTGTGACGTCCTCAGCTACAGTAGAACGAGAACCGTCTCTTTGATGCAGTGTCAAAGTTATGAATAACTCTGTTCTGGGTTGACAGTCATAACCTTGAAAGGATCTGTCTGATCTACTGTTCCGTTGTAGATAAACCTGAGGGGTTTGGGTTCATTATAATTGTCCGAATAACATATATATTCATTTGCCAGGGAAGGATAATGACAAGACGTGTATCTAAGCGTAAGTATTGAAGATAGGTTCACGGGATACACTAGATAGAAGTTACAGGATCAAAGCATAGTATGTGCAGTAATTTTGGAGAAATTACTAGAATTCCTCTGAGATTAACGTAAAATTTTCCTCCGTGATTAACGTAATACTCAGAATACCCACACATTTATCAACTTGATTTTGAATTCGCTTTTCTGTATACTATGCGGCCTAGTGACAAAGTCAAACCAGAGACTTTTTAGAATTGGTTCATTTTCAATTTCCTCATTTACCCAAGATTTAAACCAATTTCTTATGTATGATAATTCTGGTATCCTGGATACATTACTGGTCTACTTATAAGACTCAAAAATGAACTTGATGGAGAGTCTAAATAACTCTCTGCTTTGCCACTATGCGTATGCGGATGTAAGTCAAGGGTCTAATTCAATTTTCAAGAACCCGGCTGGCTTTCTCGCCCCTCCCCCCTCCTCTTCTCTTCATGAGAAGAGGCAGTAGGTAGGAGTAGGCCTGCGTCTTACAGTTTGAGCTAAAGCCAGGTTTACAGGTTATGAAGTGATGATTTGATGCAACGTTCAGTGACAGGCCACAATAATAAGCCACATCACCGCCCGCCCGGCCAGGTCTCATAGTGTGGCACGAGAGTCGTTGTAAAATTTATCTCAAGGTCATCTGGTCGTTGAACAACCGCATGCCAGTCGATAGTCAATAGGATTTATGCAGTCGATAGTCGATAGGTTTCTTCAGTAGTTCGATAACTTAACAATGAAAACACTAGTCGTTAACTATGAGATAACCTCAAGTCTATGTACATTATATTCTTTATATACAACAAACAACTAACAGATAACGCATTAATGGTTTAATTTTTCAAAGCAGCGGTGCCTTCTTAGGTTTCTTTACTAATGAATTCACCGCTACACCAGTTCACCTCACCGTAAATATTGTGTGTAAACAAATGCAAGCTTTCCCTAAAATACGGAGGTCACAACTCACACCTTACTCTTTCTTATCCAGAACTGCTTACTCAGTTTTAAATACTCGATCACCAGAATTATCAAACCTCAACTCTATTTAATATATGGCTACTTGCATTTGTTCGACAAATGCGAGCCACTCACAAATGGGATTGGCGTATTTCATATTCTCTCAAGCTCCAAGTATGAACGCGTTCAAGAACAGACTAGATAAAGCTATGGAAAAATATATGTTCAGATTTGAAATGCCTAGCTCCTTATCGAACCCGGTGGAAGTCTAGTAGCTACTTCGAACTATCGCCAGTCATGAAAAGATCCGGTCAAATGACACGAGTTTAGATCTATGAACAAGGCACGAAATGGAAAAGAATCGGCGACAGGCCACATCAGGCCTACACTTCAGAGCCGACATCACTATGTTATGTCTGTCTCTTATACACATCTAGATGTGTATAAGAGACAGGTACCGCAGTCGTATCTTGTCGGGTCTCGCTAAGTCGCTTGTTGGCAGTCGTCATAAGTTTATTGTGGAAGAGTCCCATTAGTTGGCAGTCGTTGAAAAAGATAAATGACCTATTATTTTAGCTCGAAAGTCGTTGTAAAGTAAAAAAAATTGGTTGATAACTTAAGCAAAAGTCACTGAAATTCCAACGACTATTGCCACTGTATGAAACCTGCCACATCAGGCCTACTCTTCAGTGCCAACATCACTATGTTATGTTATGTCTGACAGTCTAACCCCAAGGCAGAGAATGAAACTCCCTTTTTGGAGTCAGTACAGATGACAGGGCCATTATGAAGAGTTTTCAAGCAGCATTGCCAAGATATGGATTTTTAGCCCAAAACCTTCACCAGCCATTTTTAAGATCATAAGATACATTGCCAGGTAATTTTAATGATAAAATGCTGCAAGCAACTTTGATAGTATACCCCTTTCCTCCACGCACTGCAACACTTACAAAGTTACACTCATTGCAACTGATTTCTGGACAAGCTTCACTGCATCCTGTTCCATCCAATGTACTGGAAAGTGGAAACCTTACTGTTTGCACTTGAAGTCTTCAAAATTTGCAATAATTTCAAAGTAATTTTTAAAGTGCAATAACTTGAATCTGAATGTGTTGGCAAGATCTTCTGAACGCCTAAATTTTCTGCTGATGCATCACCAAATATCTTTCAATGTTCACTTACTTCCTGCATCCTGGTGACAGAGCAGCTTCAAGCTGCAGCTAGCTGAGCTAGGAGATGATGTAAATATACTTAGGGACATTATTTGGACATAGTGAAAAAGCAGAGTTTTATAGAATCTCCCTTGAGTTCATTTTTGAGTCCTATAAGTTGATTAATAAAGTATCTATCATAGATACCACTCATACCAGCATTATCATACATGAGAAATTGGTTTAAAACTTGAGTAGATGAGAAAATTAGAAATGAACTGATTATAATATATCTGTGGTTTGTCGCTATGCTTAGGGACACTCAAGCTCAAAACGTGAACCAACCTGACAACTTCCCAAGCTTTGTGTGATATGAGATGCAAGCTTCTAATAAGCTTGCCGTTCATGGTGGAATTCTAACATACAGTGCTCAAAGGTACTTGTGGGCAGAGTCATGTCATCTCCCATCAGTGAGTGGGCAGAGTCATGTCATCTCCCATCTGTGATTGGTTGAGAGGTCATTCTTTCTACACTGTGATTGGTCAATAGGATCATGATATCATCCTCTCAAGATTGTGATTGGCTGATAGGATCATGATCTCATGGTATCCAGGTTATGGGATCATGATGTCATGTTATCCAGGCTGTGATTGGCTAAGCAATGGCCGTTCCATTGGTTTTTTAAAACCTCCCTAGAATTCCACCATGTTAAATGCTGTTGACATTTGACAAAACAGCAAATGAGCAGCTAAATAACAGAGAAAAATTGGAAATGCAACATGATGAGATTGGGGCACATTTTGAATGGTTTCCATCCCATTCTGGTTCACTAGGACTGGGAGAATTATCTGACTCAGAAACCGTTCTTACTTCCAAGTAGAGGCCAACTTCTCTTGCTCTCTCTGCTGAAGTGAAACACAAATACCTGTGGAAATCACACCTGCCATTACATGGCTGTAGAGTAGAGCCTTTTAGCACAAGATATTGGAATCTTTCAAAAATTTTCATCAACCACCTTGACCTTACATCGGCGTTTTGGTTGCTGCGCTCTAGAAGGAGGAGCGTGTGTGCAAGAGAGGCGCCTAACGATCGATTCGGCCAATGTCTGATGACCAACAATGACGCTCGCACTTGCGCGATCTATGTGGCTGATGCCCGATGATGAACACTGACGCCAGGGTTGGCGATTTTTTTGATTTTTTTAAAAAAATCAAAAAAATCAAAAATCAATGATTTTTTTGACTTTTTCATGATTTTTTTATTTATTTGATTTTTTTGATTTTTTCAACTTTTTTGTCTTTTTGAAGTGTTATTTTTTATGTTGCAATTAGCCTACTAACAATAACAGTATATGGATCATAATGGATGGCTAAAAAGGGCACTTATTGCCTTCAATAATGGCCAACAGGCCAAGGTGGTGTTTACCACTTAGGGATTTTTAAGTAAACAATTATTGATAAGTCTATTCATTAGCTTTGTAAAGTTTTTATGGAGCAAGGTAATAAGCTAAAAATTGACCATTTAACTGGCTTCAATATACATAAACACTTCAGGAATGCAGATCTTCTAAACATTGAAGAGTCACATAACAGATAGGTAGCTGATAGCACAGTGCACAGCACCATCAATAGATCTACTAGTTTTATGTCCTATAAATTTACCAGACTCTACCCTCTATACACACTGACTAGTAGTTCCCATTTAATTCAGACCAATAAACCAATACTAAACATAAACTGAACGATAACTGAATGATAACCAAACAAACCTCATACTACTTGAAACGAGACTTAAGTTATGAGAAAATCTAATACTGCTTGAAATAAACATGTGCACAATTCAAATATTTTATATCCATTCACTGCATTTAGTTATTTTATCTATAGCCTTATAATTGTAATTGTTTTGTTTCTAGTTTTAAATTCACATATTTAAAGATTTAAATTAAATATTTTAATTAGAATACTCGTATTAGGATTAGGGTGGAAAATCTTTCTAATTGCCTAAAAGGTCAATACAATCTCAACCTTTCAATATACAGGGTGGGGGAGAACCAATTGAGCAGTTTTGAGGTAAAATAAAAGAGTAATGGAGGTACATGAAGAAGAAAGTTTATTTTCCTAGAGGTTAGAATAGAATAGAAAAACATATCATTTAGAATAACATATCATTTAGAATACTCATGTTTTGAAAACAATATCTGGAAGATGGGGGCCGTTAGCTGCAACGCATTGTTGGAGTCGTTCTCAGAGTAGGGAGTAACCGTAACAGTGAATTCCGATCGCTATGCTGCAATGTTGCAAAATTTCTTGAAGCCCATGATGGACGAAAACATTGTTGAAAATGAAGCATTGGGAGACGTGTGGTTCCAGCAGGATGGGGCTATACAGCTCACACAGCCCAAATGTCACTCAATGTTTTGAAACGCATGTTCCCAGACTCTGAGAGGTGATTTACAGTGGCCTGCGAGGTCACCTGATTTGAGCATTTGCGATTTCTTTCTTTGGGGACATCTAACAGAAAGGGGTTCAGAAGTCGCCCTCACACCCTACCACAGCTAATGGGACGGATTATTGCAGCAGAGGTTATGGCCATACCTCGCCATAAGTGAATGTGCTATAGAAAACTTCCAAGAACGACTCCAACAGTGTGATGCAGCTAACAAACCCCATCTTCCTGGTATTGTTTTCAAAACATAAGTATTTTAAAGGGTATGTTATGCTAATCTTGAGGAAAATAAACTTTCTTCTTTATGTACCTCCATTACTCTTTTATTTTTCCTCAAAACTGTTCATTCAGTTCTGCCCCACCCTGCATAAGCTAGCTAACACATTTAAATTGTATATTGTAATCA